CCATTTTTTTACCCATTTATTTGTCAGCTACCCTTACAACCGACCAAACCACTCAAAAAATTTCTCACAAAATTAAAAATATTCAGAACACCCTTTGCCCATTAGAAAAAAAATGATACTACGTTCTCAAGCTACATTTAACAACCTAAACACAACAAAAAAGCACAGTAAAAGTTTGGGGAAGTCATATAAAAAATCTACAGATATTATGATTATTATTTTAATTTGTTTTTCATAAAGTTCGTTAATGAATAAAGTGCAATAAAACTAATGCTATTGGAGAAATAATTTGTCTCCAGGGGTGTTTTCCGCATGAAATCAGCTACCAAAATAATCGATCGAAGGGGGCGAAGGTCAGTGTCATATTGAATATTCTTGTGTTGTGATTAAATGACAGAAAAATATTTCTAAAGTGTTTTCTCACTTTAGAGAAAAACCGGTTGGAATTTTTTTTGTCTCTTAATTCACTTTTGAAGTAAGTCGAAAAATAACTCGAATTTCCAATTAGTCAAAAAATGGCGAGCATCAGTTATCATCTTCTCCAATGAAGGATTACAACTATGAAAACCTTCAGGTACGTTGTAGCGCTCTTTTAAGTGTAATTACACATTTTTTTTTCAAATTAAAATGGTGTTAAAAAAACTTGCACTTTGCGTTCTTGAGCGCTGAACAATTTTCAGCCAAATTAATTGTTTTAAATCAGAATAACCAGGCTGAAAATCTTTCAGCCCTCAAGAACGCAAAAGTTGATTTAAAAATTGCCTATTAGTGCAAGCCTTTTGAACACCACTTTAACTTAAAAACAAGTTTATCAAACGGAGATCGGATGGAAGTACCTTTTATCTTAATTTTTATCCATTGCATCTCCTTTTTCAACCTAATCCACCACCAGCTTAAGTCTTCCTAGTTTTTCGGAAAAAAACAATGCACCCAAACAGCATTCATTAAAGAAAACTTTAAACAATTTTCATACATCGTTATTGTTGTGTAATTTTTCAAATCACAACCTGTAAGAAACAACCAATAAAAAACAACCAACAAAAAACAACCAAAGCACAAAAAATTCTGATAATTTTGAAAAACTTGAAAATTTTTCAGTTTTTACATTCTTAAATTTAAAAAACCAACATCGTGCAGATTGACAAAAAAATCAAATTTCATGAAAATCAGTTATTTGCTTACTTAGTTTGTGAAAAGTGATAAGGTTTAACAGTTCCTTTTGAAGATAAAAAAAACAACGAGACATCGTTTTTCAATAATAAATTTTGTAGCCTGTTATCACTGTTTTTTGTAGCCTGTGAAAAAAAGCCCATGGAAAAAATGCTTATCATACAATTTCATACTAAAGGTAAAATACTTGTCATAAAACTCTATAGCTTGGAAAAAATTCTTATGATGCTATTTTCAGACAATTTTGTCGATAAAAAGATAGATGAAAAAGATCAATTTTTAATTCCAGTGTTTGGAAAAAATGCTTGTTATTGAGTTTCATAGAAAGGAAAAAATGTTTATTTTGGTATTTTCATACACACTTACTTTTGCACAATGAAATTGTATGAAAGAGTATGGCAAGCGTGTTTTCATCAAAGAAAATTGTATGATAAGCATTTTTTGTCAACCCGGGATCGTGGTGAGTTTTTCTTTTTTGAGCCAATGACATTTCTCCTAACGGCTTCATAGGTGATTTATTATCATAAATTGGCAATTTCATAACCCCCAAAAATTCAAAAAAATTGGTCATTTATCAGTAGTTCTTAGATAATTCAAGAAAATACCCAAAACGGCTAGCTCAAAGGGGCGAAGTTCTATTGGAGAAACAAAACTACCCGGATCACAAAATTTCTGTCATTTTCTGCGAAAGTCGAAACAAGAAAATTTCTTATATCAAGGCAAACCTATGAGCGTTCCGACTACCCACTAAGGTATAAGATGTAGTTTTTGATAATAAAATGGTAGAAAATCTCGCTTTTTCCAAAACTCCTTCTCATGCTGTAGAAAATTTAAAAAATCGCGGCTATCAATGCAAAACTTCTCGAATTTGATCAATCCTTAATCCAATTTTGATCAATTTGCACGGTGAACTGATATTCTTCTTAGATTTAACAGTATTCAACCTTTGGGATTGAAACAACAATATCACATGATATAAATAATCTCGTCAAAAAAAATAGTGAGTTGAAGGTCAATTCCTGACTAATGAGATGACCACAACGAGCAAAAAAATACCTTGTTTTTTTTTTCAAAAAACGGCAAAGTAACAGTGATTGCGTTTTCATTTCAAAATACAGAATATAATAAAATTATCTTTTTTGATGATTGTTTTACCAATAGACTTTCGGCGTGAAAATTTGAGTCGATTAGAAAAAACTATATAACCCACCAAAACTATAAGACCCAAAAGGTATTGCTACAAACAATCGGAACTTTGTTCAGGGCAGATTTGCAGTCCCAACCAAAACCCTTACTCTCAGGATTTAAAATTAATTGCCTAACAAAGTGTGCTTCGGAAATTCAATTCACGACGCTCTTTTTTGTTTGGGACTTTTTCTAACCGTTTCGACAATTGTCGATTAATCTACACAAATTCATGCGATGATTACTGACAAGTTTTTGTTGCAGTGCAAATTTTGTTTTCTCCCTGCATACGTCCAAACTATGGTTCTCCCCGCAATTTTCCATATACCTTCAATGGCAGTTTCGGGATTTCTGTACTGGAAATTATGGATAGCTTGGGTTGTGATGGTAATGCCATATGTAGTGAAACAGGCCATTGCGGGTTCACCAAGAGACGGCCCTTCAGTGTTTTCCACAAATTGGGAATTTGGCCAAACAGCCTCAATGCAACAAATGATTGACAAAGTTTTTGTTGATAACATCAGATTTGAAGAAGATTACAAAGTGGAAGTAACCTGGGTAAAATCAACTGCGTATCTAGCTTCTGTCTTTGCATTCGACTAATCATATTTGCATAGGATGACTAATTTGACCTTAATAAATGATTTCATCCACAACCTACAGCTGAACAAAAAACACAAAAAGTAATATTGATATTTTCTGACTTCTTTCATTGTTGAAAAACATTCCTACTCATAATTTTGCTCACCCTGTCAATAGTTAAAGTGCTCAATAAAAAGATTTCTCTTACTTTTTTTTCTCAAATTGCCGAAGTTCCTCTGTCAGATCAACTAGTATGTCGGGTAAAATACAATCTGAAAATTGCTTTTTGATACAGAGGTACTTGTCTCTTTAAACTAAAAAAAAAATTTCGCAGCCTAAAAAACACATCTCAGTCTTAATAATAATGAGCGTTTTACTTGTGGTCAACTCGAAAAAAAGTAAACCGCAAATAAAAATTTGATTTAAATACATTTTATCATTGACATTATAGTACTGAAAACACTACACTAAAATGAAAAGCTAATGTCCTAATTGCGTATTTAATTTTAATTCAACCTGGGTTGACCTCCATTGCCCGAAAATGCTAATCATACAATTTCATAAACTAAGTCTATGAAAAAATACTAATTCAAACATTTTGCTAAAGCGGAGTCATCAAAGTTTCAAAGAATTTTCTTCTTGTTTTGGCAGATAATTCGGTATATCCTAGTAAAAAAAAGAAGAAACTTTTGTCAAAAAATCACTAGTCATACAATTTCCACATTTGGAAACTCTATGACTACCTTTTTTTACGGCAAAAGTAGTTACAAATTACCTCAACATTTTTTTTATTATTATTAATCGCAAAACGAAATTTGTAATCAAACATGCATTTTGTAAAAAAAAAAATTGCCTGCAATTTGCGTGTCAAAATTGAAAAGAATTTTTAAAAAATAATTTACGGTCCAAAAAACGTTCCGGGCAAAAGAAACGCTTCTTGGATGGACCTGCTCTGATCGTAACAAGACCGAATCAACTCAGTTCCATTTACTCTAGTTCATTCGCAAAAACAATTAGATATTTTTTTTAACCAAAAGGTACTCAATTGGATGCAATTAGAAAACACTGCGATTGATTGCGTCTTCGAAACGCTCTCATTCGCAATCAGACAAACGTGCCAACAAAATTTTTGAAAAGTCCTATATATTGGCGAACGATTCAAATCCTGAATATCCAGTTCTCCTTGCTGGTGATACTTCAATCACTTGATTGCTATAACGGTTTATACATTTTCATAACTCTCACTGCGGAAAAAAGCCAATCTGTGGCCATAGCAAAACGAACAAATTTTGATTATGCGATGACGCTTGTTGCTCAAAAGTATCATCAACAGCTGTGTACCGTGCAGAAAATTGCAACAACAATTTGATTATCTTGAAAAGCCAGATCTTCCAATTGAAAGGCTGCAATCTACAAATCACTATTCCTTCGCACCTACTGGATTAGATTACATTGGACCCTTACTGGTTGTTCTACAAGGTAAACAGCACCCCGCGTACGATCTTCTCTCCACCTGTCATCAGAGCTGTTCACCTGAAAATTTCTTCAAGCCTCTCAGCTGACAGCTCTTTACACTGCATCAGATGCTTTTTTGCCCGCCATGGTTTCCGAGAATTTCTATCGCAGTAATAAATAAACGAAAATAAAAAAAAACTATTTCCTTTAAAAATGCTGTTCAAAAAAGTATGGTTTCTTCTAAATTGAGGAAAATCGCACCCAATAAAACATCAGAACAAAAAATAAGACCATTTTGAAATATTATTACTGACTTTAAGCTTTAAGGATGACTTGAAACAAAAATTCGTCGTGGAATCGAATTCTTTACTCTCTGCTAAATCAGATTTTTTTTTCGTTAACCTTGATTCTGAATAGCACAAAATTCAGTTTTTTTTGAGACCGCGGAAATTTTTTTGAAGTCTTCTTTTTCAATTAAAATCATGACCGCAAGGGTTTTGAATTGGTAGCACGCTTGACTCTCCAACAAATTTTCTTAGAAGTACCTAAAATTGCGCAAAAAACTATTCAACATGACGCTATAGTTCAGTCCCAATTCGTGACGTGAGAAGAGGCACATTTTTGAATGTGACATATTTGGACCACTTCAAGAGAGATCAAAGTTGAAAAGATACAAATTTGAATTGCAAAAAATTTTTAACTATAAGTTCTCATATCGAGTGTAAGAGATTGTGTTGTGACGTGGACGTCGGCATTTGTGCTCGTCGATGTTCGTGAATTGTTCTCAAAACAGTTGAGGATGTTGAGTTTCTTTGCAGCTGGTATCCTGTCGACCTAAACAAGTGTGACTCATCAAGAAACTTCCATCATTAAAAATGAAAAGTTTCCGTTAAACTCAAAAAGACATATATTCAGCTGAAAAATTCAAAAAATTTGAAGCATTTACCACTCTTAGTTTTTACAGCAACAAAATGAATGAAAAATAAGAAAAAAATGCGTCACTTTGATATTTGTTCCGAATATTATTACCCTTTCATCCAGCGGCGGATCTAGGATTTTCTCGAAGAGGGGGGGGGCAGAATTTCAAAAAAATTTCGAAAATTTTGACCACTTTTTAGGTTGACCAAATTGATTTTCCGAGTTCTCCCAAAATGCAGTAAAAAGACGCTGCTTTAGACAATTTTTCTGCGCCGCAAGCAAATTTTTGAAAAAACAGGTGAAAAAAGCCGAAAAAACAGGTGAAAAAAGCCAGTTAGTGTAGACTGGCGCCAAAGGCGCTTTTAGAAAAATTCTAGGTTCGGTCTTCCAAAAATGAATTTCTTAAAAAGTACCAAAGTGCTCTTTTGTGTTGGCAGGCAGGGGCGGATTTAGGGGGGGGGGGGGCGGGGGTTTGACGCTTCTTCTCAGGGATTCGACCCCCTGCCGACCCAAAGTGTCCCCCCTTTGGTACTTTTTAAGAAATCCATTTTGTTGACGGACCCTAAAATTTTTCGAAAAGCGCCTTCGACGCCAATATATACTAGCTTTGAGGGGGAGCGCGCGCCTAAAAAAACGCGTTTTCTTCTGAAAGTTTTCCAAAAAAGTCCAAAAACTTTTAGTGCTTTACGAGAGCTCGGAAAATCAATTTGGTCGACCTAAAAAAAGGTCGCCAAAAGTTTCGAAAATTTTTTCAAAATCCGCCCCTCCCCCCTTCTCGAGAAAATCCTAGATCCGCCCCAGGTTGGCAGGGGGTCGAATCCCTGACCTGAGAGAGGGGCCTCAAACCCCCCGCCCCCCTAAATCTAGCCCTGCTTTCATCTCTCAGATTTTTCGAAGGAATTTTTGTAGGACTTTACATAAGAGAAATTGATGCGGAGTGATGACTTTGCAATAAAAACTCTCTCTTAACTTTCCCTCCATATTAACCAATGAATCCACTTATTTTTATCAGTATCTTTTCTGTCAACAATTTAGTTGTTTAGTAAAAAAAATTCGTAAAAAAATTAGAGTACCACAGTTCAAATAACGGTAACGTCAATAGCACAGTTTTTCAGTGTCGAGGAAAACCAGTGTGAAATTAGATTTGATATTCAGTCTAATTTACAGCGAGCATCCCGCATCAGCAGACCGAAAAAGCTTTTTGCTGAACCAATAAAACACATTCTTTAACGTTTAGCTATGAAAAAGAGCTTTTACAGTTCAGGTTAGCTCTTTCCTAAAAGGTTTGTAAGGTCAAACTGAAAAAAGAATCAAAATTATTTTTATTATTTTCTCGTTTTTTCATCAAAGGTTTATTATCAAGGTTTTTGCACACCGAGCATTCATGGACCATAATCGATTATATTGTCCTAATATGGTCAGTATCTATAAAAATACAAAATAATCTGTTATAATGCATCAAAGTTGGATTATGAATCTCATTTTTTATGCCAATATAATCCATTATCATCAATTATAATCAAATATAATGGATTTTTTGAGAGGCTATTCACGAAATTTTAGTTTTTGTTTCAAAGTAATATCCTATCCTGTTCAGTGCAGTTCCTACGTAGTACGTTTCATAAAACGTTACATTTCACATTAAAACTTATATTTTTCAGCTTTTTTCAGTTCATCGCAGTTTATAGCTTCATTTTACAGTGTTTTTTTAACCAAAACCGCTTAACCGCCAAAACCCAGAGCAAGGGTGGGGGTTGATTGATTCAAAACTAGTAAGAGTCATGGCATACATTTTGCAAATTTCTAATGGATTATAATGGATTTTTTATTTCAAAAATAATTGATTATAATGGCAATATAATCAATTTCCTGGTCTGAACTTTAAAACTTCAATAGATTTTAATGGATTATAATGGATTATCTTTGTCACGGAATTCCATTATAATCGATTAGAATCCATCGGCACTTGATGCGGGTTTGAAACGAAAAACAGTTTTTGGCTGTTTTTTGAAGTTAAACTTTTAAGCATCCCTCTCCTGGCAAAAAAATGATTATATAAATGTTTGTTAAGAAACGAGGTTTTCTAAATGTTTATTCTTCGAAAAAATTTTATGGACATTTGTGCTCTAATGACACAGTAATCACTTCACATGGTAGATAGTTAGTTTTACTCAATCAGGGCCAAAATTCTCCAAATGTTTAGAAATCAATTAATTTTAAGAATAAAGTTCTTTTCAAAGTTTCCACATAATGAAATTGTTTTAGCATAATCTACTCATGGACTCTTTTTTCTGTATTTTGTGGAAAAATACAGTAATAGCACGAAACAAAAACAATGACGTAATTCTTCAACAACTTCAGTGGTCAGAACAATAAATCGGTTCATCAAAAGACCTATAGTGGCAAAGATTATGGAAAGAATGGGCAAAAACTGTATGGATCGATTGACCGCACAGAAATTTAATTATCTTTGATAAGGATAAATTCAAAGGCATCATGCCTGTTTGAATTTATTGATCATCATATGAAGATGAAATTTCAGTGCGGGCATGCAAGCTATCCGTCTTTTATCAATTACTCCCATAATCATGGCCGTTATGGCGCTTTTTATTTGTTCATATTTTTGTGGGACTTTTTGTAGGACTTTACATAAGAGAAACTGATGCGGAGTGATGACTTTGCAATAAGAACTCTCTCTTAAATTTCCCTCCATATTAACCAATGAATCCACTTATTTTTATCAGTATCTTTTCTGTCAACTATTTAGTTGTTTAGTTGATGACAATTCGTAAAAAAAATTAGAGTACCACAGTTCAATTAACGGTAACGTCAATAGCACAGTTTTTCAGTGTCGAGGAAAACCAGTGTGAAATTAGATTTGATATTCAGTCTAATTTACAGCGAGCATCCCGCATCAGCAGACCGAAAAAGCTTTTTGCTGTGCCAATAAAACACATTCTTTAACGTTTAGCTATGAAAAAGAGCTTTTACAGTTCAGGTTAGCTCTTTCCTAAAAGGTTTGTAAGGTCAAACTGAAAAAAGAATCAAAATTATTTTTATTATTTTCTCGTTTTTTCATCAAAGGTTTATTATCAAGGTTTTTGCACACCGAGCATTCATGGACCATAATCGATTATATTGTCCTAATATGGTCAGTATCTATAAAAATACAAAATAATCTGTTATAATGCATCAAAGTTGGATTATGAATCTCATTTTTTATGCCAATATAATCCATTATCATCAATTATAATCAAATATAATGGATTTTTTGAGAGGCTATTCACGAAATTTTTATTTTTGTTTCAAAGTAATATCCTATCCTGTTCAGTGCAGTTACTACGTAGTACGTTTCATAAAACGTTACATTTCACATTAAAACTTATATTTTTCATCTTTTTTTTTCAATTCATCGCAGTTTATAGCTTCATTTTACAGTTTTTTTTGACCAAAACCGCTTTTCGCAGAGCAAGGGTGGGGGTTGATTGATTCAAAGTTAGTAAGAGTCATGGCATACATTTTGCAAATTTCTAATGGATTATAATGGATTTTTTATTTCAAAAATAATTGATTATAATGGCAATATAATCAATTTCCTGGTCTGAACTTTAAAACTTCAATAGATTTCAATGGATTATAATGGATTATCTTTGTCACGGAATTCCATTATAATCGATTAGAATCCATCGGCACTTGATGCGGGTTTGAAACGAAAAACAGTTTTTGGCTGTTTTTTGAAGTTAAACTTTTAAGCATCCCTCTCCTGGCAAAAAAATGATTATATAAAAGTTTGTTAAGAAACGAGGTTTTCTAAATGTTTATTCTTCGAAAAAATTTTATGGACATTTGTGCTCTAATGACACAGTAATCGCTTCACATGGTAGATAGTTAGTTTTACTCAATCAGGGCCAAAATTCTCCAAATGTTTAGAAATCAATTAATTTTAAGAATAAAGTTCTTTTCAAAGTTTCCACATAATGAAATTGTTTTAGTATAATCTACTCAAGGACTCTTTTCTCTTTTTTCTGTGTTTTGTGAAAAAATACAGTGATGGCACGAAACAAAAACAATGACGTAATTCTTCAACAACTTCAGTGGTCAGACAGAACAATAAATCGGTTCATCAAAAGACCTATAGTGGCAAAGATTATGGAAAGAATAGGCAAAAGCTGTATAGATCGATTGACCGCACAGAAATTTAATTATCTTTGATAAGGATAAATTCAAAGGCACCATGCCTGTTTGAATTTATTGATCATCATATGAAGATGAAATTTCAGTGCGGGCATGCAAGCTATCCGTCTTTTATCAATTACTTCCATAATCATGGCCGTTATGGCGCTTTTTATTTGTTCATTTTTTAATCCGATCCCTGCTGTGAGCCAAAATGTGCCAATCAGCCTACCTTAGTTTGAAGCCACTTCTCATCAAGTTATAGAAGAGGAAGACTCCGAGTACAATCACACACGCTATGCTCACTGCCACTCCACACACAGCGAAGGCCGCCTCTGAAAAATAAAACTCACTTCAGAAAAAAACAAGTTGAAATCTTTTTCCTAAAGCATTCTAGGGGAGAGGAAGTTTATTTAAATTCCAACTCATTTTTAACCAATCAGAATAGAATAGCGCTCAAAATAGAAGTTGAGGGCTTTGTGGAAGACAGCAAATACTAACAAGCTGCACAAACTTACAAGCTGCATACCAATTTATTTTATGTAGCCTAACTGATTAGACATAATTTGCTTGATTATATTACGCTTTCCTGTAAAAAATTATTTTATGTTTCATCCAAAAAAAGGAAAAATTAGAGCATCACTTTTCAGCAAGAAGCACAAGTTGTAGCATGTTCCCAAACCCACCCCCTTGACCGACCAGTATATTTCCGTTCAGGCTCAGAAATATTCCAATGTTATTGAAAAATGTTTCAGATAAACTCAAAAATGTTCTGTATGCTTATTTTAAGGTAGTCTGACCATGCATATGTCCTACAAGCTCGGGTCAAAGTGCTCGATTCATATTTTGACTCTATCGACCACATTTCAGTATTTTTCGACTTTCTCGACTAAAATTCGGTATGTTTTGACATTCTCGAACAAATTTTGGTAGATTTTGACTTTCTCGACCCAACAAAAATATGCTCGGTTTTGCTCGACGCAGTTCAGATATGTTTCAAATTTCTTGACCGAAACTCGATATATTTCGGTTTTCTTAACCGACAATTAAATTAAATTAATTATTCGATCCTGAAAAAAACGTTCCTAGTATTCTACCAAAAATGGGTATGGTTCGACTGTCTCGATTTTCTCCACAAAAAATCCAAAATTTATTTGAACCATCTCAATTTTGTTTCAGGCGCTGTCACTACGAGTCAAGATTTGCGATTTATGTTTCGACCGAATCGACCAAAAACTCGTACGTTTCAACCGTTTTGACCACAATCGGGTATGCTTCGACTGTTTCCGACCTGTGTTTTGACTTTCTTGACCGAAGTCGGGCATGTTTCGACTGCACTCGTCTTTCGACTTTCTCGACCATCAAATATCATGGGTAAATTGACAAAAAGTTATAGTGTATGCTCTTTACTTGATTTCTTGGGATGATGCTTGAGCTGAAGATAACTTATTTAAATTTTTTTAATTTCTATTCATTTTGTTTTTCTTTTCTTAACAAAACTGGACTGAAACTGTTGATCTGAAAATTGATAATTGAAGGAAGTTTAGTATAATTTACTTTTTGTTGCCGCAGGAACCCTGAGATCTGGAAGAATTAAAGGATTCCCTTTGAAACTTTTAGTTTTGCGGCAAGCAAATCTCCTCAACTGATTGTTGCTGATTGCAACTTTCTCACGGAGGCCTTTTCCGAGCATATATAAGCTCTGTTTCAAAGTTAAGAATTCAAAAACATTTTCAAAAAAAAAATTGAAAAAAAAAAATCAGGTTGTGCTCGAACTAAGTTTTGACTTTGCTCGACCTATGTCTCGTCTCCCTCCACCACAACTGAGTATCATTCGAATTTGAACTCGACTTTGCTTCTTGACTGTTGAATTCCATTAAAAAACTGCAGCTGCTCGACTTTCAAAATCGAAACATTTGTCGAGCACCTCGACCCGGGTGTCGTAAAAAAAAAATTTTTTTTCTTCTTTCGTACGAGCCTCTTTTTTGAACTTACCCTTAATGGTAAATTGCAGTCCAAATGATGTATGGTAGAGATGACCGCCTGGATTTATTAAATCGGCATCAAAATCAAACTTGAAAACTTGGTGACCAGTTTGAAGGATAAGTTTACTGTCACGACTCGAGTAGGAGTAGCACTCTGAAAGGGTCTCTAAGTTGTCTTCACTGGAACCCAGAAGATCAAAGGAAGCTATTGCAGTCTGTGCCGAACATCGTAAGCTGAAGTCTAAACAAGGTTAACCGGTTACTGAGCTAAAGCATATGATGTTCCAAACAAACTGATTTATTAAGAGAAAAGCAGAAAAAAGAAACGTTTCTAGACAAGGCAAACGATTTAGGAGAAAATTGCAAAAAAGTTATTTTCACATAGCCAATTGTTAGTTGGAAAAAAGTAATGAACGCAAGGAAACAAAAAAAGCTGAAGTGGTTTTTGAAGAAACTTTCACTTTTCCAAGTTTAAAAAGACATGTATATACCCTTAAAAGTGCTCCATTTTTAAATGCCATTAAGGAACAATTTATTGTTAGTCCTTTTTTTGATGTGCAAGTTTTTGGTAGATTTTTACTAGACACCCTTCCAGTTTTTACTGAGGTACCAAAAATATAAGTTTTTTGACAAAGAGTAACTCTTAAAATAACGATTATATTGTTTGCAATGTTTTTCTCCCAACTTCCAAATATCACTTCAAAGCTCTATAATTTTACCAAAAATTTTTCATATCAAACGTCACAATATAAGGGATTCAGTTCTGATCACTTATAGAAAAAAATCTAACATCGAGCAAAAATCTTAAAGTCGATGAAACAAAAAATCGATTTTATTCTCATTTTCAACCGAATTTCTTATTTTTTTAATGGGTGCTTTTATAATGGGTGCTTTTATAAATCGGAAAAGAAGCTAGAGTTGTTGACACAATAACTTTAAAAACGTTATAAGTGTAAATAGAACTTATTTTTGTGAATTTCAGCCACTATTCAACTTGTCCTTTTTAGTCTAAAAATTGAAAAATTCAGACTTTTTTCTCAACACTGACAAAAATGGTTGAATTTAATTTGCAATCCAAATAACGAACAACAGGGCTTCAAAGCGACACTAATAACAGAATATAAAACTTTCTTTGAGGTAGTCAAAAACCCATAGTTCCTCCCATCCATTTTATGGGGAAGTGGCTTCTGGTTAGAAGATTTAAGAGTATGAACAATTTTCCACTTTTTCTCCAGAAAAGTTAAAAAGAAAAACGAATCATCTAAAAAAGCAAATATTCATTTCGTGCAAGAGTAATTTAATTTTTGAGAAGACGTTATTAACTATAAACCTCAGCTCAGTAAAAAGACTCAAAAAGAAAACAAATAAATTTCACCGTAGAACTCATACATGTACTAACAAAAAATGGATACCCATCGATTCTATACAGATAATGTGGCAGGAAACGTTAAAAAATGACTTGAGTTGAATCAAAATCAATTTAGTTAAATACAAAAATGTAGCTTAAAAATAAGCTAAAATCTTTTTTGTAAATGTTTTTTGTTTCAATTTTTTATGAAATTGATTCGATTTAAATAAACTTGAATAATTCTTAACGAAATTTTCTTTAACTCTTTTTATACAGATTCTATACAGAATTTATTCAAATTTTTTAGAACATCAAACAATAAAGAAAAAGTGAAATAAATTTTTTACAAACGCTTTTTAATCAACTTCTCGTTTTGATGTTTGGTTGGAAAATACGCTATTAGGCTAACTAATATCTAATATTTCTGCACCAAAAACTTCTTTTTTTGATATTTTTCCTTTAATGATATTGGTCTTAAAAAATTGAGCCTCAAAGTTTGATAGTATAAAAACATTTTGCCTAGCTCTACTTCACTTTACCATAGGAGCCCTTAATTTCGCTTTAATTTGAAATGGAACCCCTTAAACGCTTAAACTAAAAGTTTGCTATACAAAAACTTTTTTAAGTGACTCTTGCTCTCTATAGCTCTCTCGAGGTTTAATTTAGTAGAAGAATATGCTCAAGCTTCGAAGCAAAAAAATAGTTTTTTTGAATCAGTTTTCTTGAGATTTTGATGATTTTCACTATCTTGCAAAAATTCATTTAAATCGATTCATTTCCACTTTTTATGCAATTAAATTGATTTTTTATTCTGCCACTTTAATCCATTTAATCCATTCTACATCGATTTACGTATTCAAATGGGCTATCGCAAATCGATTTCTATACAGTATATTATCTGTATAAAAATCTATTTAAAACGATTTCAATCTCAAGTTTGTCACTGCGCGTATGGCTTTGTCATTGTTCTGACCACACCAGAGCTCAAAAAAATTATGGCAAGTGGTTCTTTTTCTAATCTATTTTGACTACTTTAAAGAAAATTCATAACAATGTCAAATATGTTTTAAGGCCATTGGAGCCTTAGTTTGGGTTCTAAAATAATTTTCAAAAAATTATTTCTGGATCAAGAAAAACTGGTCTGAACGAACTCGTTTTTCAGAATAAATTAGATAAAGGGTGACAGGAATTTACTTAAAGGCTGACATCAAAATTAGATTCTTCTACCGTTACAGTTTTGACGTCCTTTTAGCAATAATTATTAAGCATTAGTGACTTTTTTCCTCTGGTTTGCTCGACTTCTCCGGTAAAAAGTATAATAAGAAATATTGGACATGAAACAAGTTGAAATTTAAAAAATAATAAGTTTTCTCTTTTTCTGATAAATGTTTCTTCTATGATTCTGAGCAAGTTGTGCATCTAGCTTAGCGACCAACTGTTCTTGTTGTCATTAAAAGTAGATAAGTAAACATATTTCATAAGAAATATTTTGAATGTTATTACAGTAAATACCTTGAATATTGTGTCGAGTTACCAGGGTTCCGTTCAGGGCGCACTGTTTTGATATGATCTGGGCCATTTGACTAACTATGCTTTCTTCTTCTGTTTTGGACCAATCAGCGCACAGAATTTTTCGATTCCGCGGTTGTTTAATCTTTTTTGTTTCCCAAGTGAGGGGGGTCAAAATAGGTTTTGAGTACTTGTAGGATGGACAAAGGTTAGAGTGTTTGGGCGAAGAAGTGGTAAAAGAGAAAGCGGCGTTGTTTCTAGCAGGGTGGAAAAGGGAACACCTGCTCAGTGAAATCGAGATTCCCTCTGATGTTTGCGCCCAGTTATTTTCCTTCTTAATAACAGATCTAAATCAAAAATGAGTATGTTGTAGAATAAAAGAAAAAAAGAAATATGAGCTAAAAACTGTAGGTGAACACTTCTTTTCCGTCCGTTTATGAAATAAAAGTGTCTGAGCAGCCTAATTTTGAAATTAGACATCAAAATCTATCAGTTTTAAACATTCTTTTATGCAGAGTTTTTGTTCGCACTTTATCGGAAATCAAAGATCCGTATATTAAAAAATGAGTACAATAGGTTTTGGTCACACGGTTGGTGATATGTCAAGCTATTTCAATAACTTTGATAATCGAATGAAAAATGTATAATATAAACCTGAATTGAGGAGGAGCAAAAACTGCGTGGGATTTAGGCGTGACAATTCTAGATATGTGACTGCAGTAATCATAGTCTGCTTTCTGTGACCTTTTCTCTTCTTCGGTCGATACTAGATGACCTGAATTGACCTCTGACCTCGAGGCACTGTTGAACACTACAGCGTCTATGATTTCACTGTGGATGAGGTCTTCTATTTCGAAGTATCTGATCTGCATTGGGTTGTAGACGAGGACAGTCGAAACACAGTCGCACCTAGGGTTAAGTTAATACCATAAATTCAACTTAAGCATCAAAATCAAGTTAAAATTTTACTGACTTTTACTTTGTTTTCATGCAGAATAGCTGACTTATAATCCATTATAATTGATTTTTTTGTGAAAAAATGTTTTGATAGAAAAAGGGATTATAATCTATTGTAATAAATTATAGAAGACTATAAGAGATTTTCGGAAAAATTATAATCAATTATAAGGTGGCAGGACAATCTGCCGTCTTCCAAACTACCCTACACCTTTCTACCCTATGCCCTTATATCCTACATACCAATCTACCCTATACCAATCTACCCTATACTAATCTATCTTATACTAATCTACCTTATACTAATCTGCCTTATATACCAATCTAACCTGTGTCGATTTGCCACATAATTAATGTAACCTTTCAAAGTGCTAGTTAGAATCGGAAAGATAACAGCACGTTAAAATTCATTTGAGTCCAATTTTTTGGAATCAATTTGAGTTTTTCACTTAAGGAAATTGTCTAAAGACTATATCGCAATTTAAGCCTCAAAGTCTGAAATTTGTCTCAATTAACAGGTCGGAACCCCGAAATTTTAATATCAAGTACAAAAATGAAAAAAAAAACTACGTCATTACATCAATTTTTGTTGGAATAAGATTTACCAAAATGAGTCAAATTTCTTGGGATCTATCCCAACAGAATCGGAGAACGCTTGTAATCGATGGCGACGCGCTAAAAACAGGAAACAAAAAAAGAAAGCATTCACTGGAAGTGTTCAAGGTGGGGGTCCTATAAATTCAAAACGACAGCAATAACCCGAGATAACGACCTTATTTTCTGTAGAAATGAACACACTCACGAAGTTTTTCCTGGTCGTTCAGATGCAAGGCTTCTCGTGCAGAAAATGAAACAGGACACAAAATTCAGCAAGTACCAGTCAATAGCATCATTATAATTATAATTGATTTTAATTTTTTCACATTTCACCAAAAATGTTATCATTATAATGGATTATAAATCGTATAAACTTGGCGCTTATACTTAATTATAATTAAGCTGAAAGTACAATAATAATAATAATACAATCGATTATTTTCTGTTTTTACTGAGTGCGGATACCTTCGCCAATTCTGTAGTTTTTTTTCCGACTGATACATGCGAGTTTTTTGACAACCCTCATAAAAATGACGGAATAATTTAATGTAATAATTAAAAATTGACAAATTAGGTTTAGAGGACTCATTGGATAAAAAATTGGCAACCAGACCCGGCATGCTATCAAATATTTTAACTCATAGAAGATTTTCAATCATCGTACCTGTAAGAAGAATGTTTCCAGGAATCCAATGTCAAAATCAGGTATCCGTTACTATCCAGGGAAGAACCAGACAAGGAATTCCAATCTATAATATCTCGGTGGCTATTTGCAGCAGCCATGCATACAGTGAGTAATGTGATGTGGTCTAGGGCTAAGAGTGGGTACCCTGAGAGTTCGACAAAGTCAGGGTAGCTGCCGAAGTCAAGGACCCCTCCAACTTCGCTAATCAACAGGTGGTGCAAGATACTGTCAACGGATATCGAGGAGCTACTATGGGAACCTTGAGTGTCCTTTGCACTTCGACACGAAATATTTAGATCTTGAAGGTCATTTGGACAATGATTATGATATCCAATTGACACGGGCATTATCTCGGCAACCATTTGTGGTCTGCAGTTCGAATCTTGCACACATCTCGAAATTGTTTCATTTCTATTTTGCATGCTAATTGAACTAGTATGTAAAATTTGGCCATTACGCGTTGACATATGACCTCGACAATGGTCTCCAAAAGTAAATGCGTCGATGAAGTAGTCCCACAAATTTCGACATCTGTTTCGATAGCTGGACTGAAAAGGAAGCAGCAATATCGTTTGACAAGAAGACCGAAATAGCGACTGACTTGACGCATGGAAATTTCCATGCTCAACATTTTCTGCTAAGTTGGGAAGCTTTGTAAGGTTAAATACGTGTAATGAAGTTGTTGAGTTTATATTCAAGGAAGATGAGTTAAGGTCAAGTTTGTTTGAGGTCACGAGGTCAAACCACGAAGTCACGTGATTCGTGGAGTCCAGAACAGCAAATGATATCATTATCATCAAACTTGGCTTTGAATAATTGTCACTGCCGTTTCGATCAGTGATTTGAGAGTTGAGGCCAATTTCAACGATTTGATTGAAAATATCAATTTCACTGATAAAAAGATGACTTCTATTGAAATTAGTGTATAATTTACTGAGGTGATCGGTAGTAGAAATAGTACCTCCGACGACCTTCCAAGGTTGACAATCTTCAATTTCGTTTACATCTACATTTGGTCGGAAAAATGTGACCTTTTTTTCGTGTAGCTTAGTTAGACTTGGTGTGTAGATGGTTGGAAACGAGGGCGGGAATTGTTGGATTTTGGGGTCAACAGTCCAACTCCAGACGTCTGGGACGCCTTTGGCGATTGAGTTCCAGGTGTAGTTCAGGTAAATGAAGTCATCATAGGATCCAGCAAAGAGCAGCAGATAGACTTTTTGGCTCCTGAAAGTTGCTTTCAGATTTCTCATTTTAAAATAATTATAATCATAGATTTTGTTTTTATATCAGAAATTATTCAAGACACAACAGTCATTTCACATGCTTCCGATATGCAAGATCATCAAAAGGTAAGTTGCGCCTGAGCAGTTGATTCAAAATTTTGTTGATCTTTTGAAGCTGCCACTAATCATTTAAAATAAATGTGATAACATTAAAACAGATTAAAACCGATGTGATACATGGTTCCAAAGAGGGGAAAAGATTTTTGAAAAACCACTTTTCATTTTCAAAAGATTGTTGCAAACTTTGCCCTGAATAATGTAATGTTTATGGGGCACACTGATGGGACGGTTCTTTAATTGGGGCGGTAATTGCTTTAATTGAGGCTAGTATTTTTTTGTAAATTTTCATGACTTGCCTTCTGAGAATAGCAGGTGCAAGATTAAAAGTGAAGATTCTAGAATTAGTCGGGTAGTTCCAGTCGTAATCTGAGAGCGTTTGAATTAGACTCGACTGGCCCGAGTCGCTTGTTCCTGCAATAAGACAGCCTTTGACCACCTGAAACAGATAATTACTGAAAAGCTTGTAAAAAGCGTGTGCAAAACTTGTAAAAGCTTGTATAAACATATGTATAAATCAAGAAATGGAAAGCACGCTTGCGGCTCTTTAAACAGTCTGGATAGCCATCAGTGTTCGCTCAAGCTGGCACTCTTCGAATGTTAAACTACAAAGTTTTATACTTTTTTCTGGCGCGCATAGCTTGAAAATAAATTTAATATGATTTTCAAAAGCCAACCATGTAAAAATAATTGTATTAAGTTTTGTCCCAATTGAACCAAGCTGGTTATGTTTCGACCGGGTCGATTAAAGTAAACACTGCGTTCATTTTTTTATTCAAGCTTCCTACATTTTTTGTTCGACCGACTTGATTCAAACTAGCTTAACTTCGGCCGACTTTTCCGAAGGAAAATTGAGTTCGACTGTTTTCAGCACAAGCGTTCTATGTTGTATGTTTGAACCAAATGGACTATGTTTCGACCAAATCTATAAAGAACAAGGATAGCCGGTTACTACGCAAGTAGGGCAGAATGTTACGACCATTGTCTTCAGAAAACTACGGTTTAGAAATCTTTTTTCCAAATTAGTGTAGTTTTTTCTGCTTCTTTTGATAAAAAAAAATTTGAATTAAGAAAAATATAGGCACATTAGTCAACCATAGTAATATAGCAAAATTGGAAAAAAATGTTTGTAGAAAAATGATTAGAAAAATAAAAAAATTGTTTAAAAAAATTTTTTTCCAGTTTTTTTGCAGAAAATTTTTGAATTTTTTAAGTTTTCGTTTTTCAAAATGAAGCTAAAAAATTTCCACAAAACTAGTTTTACTTGCTTAAAATTAAGTTTAAAGGTCCTAAATTAGGTAATATTCAGCTGTTGTAAGCCTGCTGGCTTGCTTTATTTGCTCGAAATAAGATGAAAAACCGAAAATTCAAAACGATTTTTCTCGACACTACAAAACAATTTTGGGAACTTTTTGAATTGGTTCAAATCACGACTGAAAGGGCTTTTATATGATATATCACTCATTATTTGTGGTACCTGATTTTGCGTAGAAAACAAAAAAGGAAAAAAACTAATACACACTCGAATACAAAGCTCCTCGGAACAAAAATAATTGTTGGATTTTATTAAATTCGATCGTGCTGCGTTTCGACCGAAACGACTCCAAGGGCTGTTTTTTGACCGACTCGACCAGAGTAAAATGTTTTCAATTACAATCGAGTAAATGTGCTGTATTTTTACCGACTCGTCTAGATGAAAAATACGTCCGAATGTGTTGAATTCAATCATGCTATGTTTCGATCGTCTCGACTCAAACTAGCTAGTTTTGAACCAACTAGGCTGAAGAAAAATCTTTTCGACTTTGTACGATTCAAGCGGGATATGCCTTGACTGACTCCAGCGAACAAAGAATGTGCTCAATTGATTCAGACTCAAATGTGCTGTCTTGTCCGAATCCATCCAAACGTTATAAATTTCGATCGACTAAACTGATCAAATTGGTTTTCGAACTGCGTTCGACTCAGCAATTACGTTTTTACTGACCCAACCGAAGGAAAAATTTGATCGACTGTGATCGATTCAAGCGTGCTATAATTCAATCATCTCAATCCAAACGCGATATGCTTCGACCGACTCGATCTAATGTACCTTTTGATCAACTTTTTGCTAAAAAAAAACAAAATTCAGTCAAAATTCATTACACTCTCTGTTTTCAATGCTTCAAGTTGTAAATTGACCTTTTTATAGCGTTGACCTTTTGGGATTGACCTTTTTTTCAGAATATACTTGAAAAGTTTGGAATTGTTTGTTTTTGACTATGCTTCGACTTTGTGTTCGACTAAGTTTCGTGTTGTGTTTGGCTTCGTGTTTGACTATGATGCAACTTTGTGTTTGACCATTTGTCGACAGTGTTCGACGTTTTTTCACTTTCGTACAAGACTTCGGCTATTTTTCTACTATTTTCTTGAAACTATTTCGTTCATTGTTGGCCTATGTGTTCGCTTAGCTTGCAAGGCAATTGTTGTTTTAGCAACAAATCCCTCCCTTAATTGGATAACATGAAAGGTCCAGCATAATTTTTGAAGGCTTAATTTTGAAGGGTTCAGTACGGTTCATAATATTAACCCAGGAATGTTCAAATAATAAAGCAATCCCTCGAAATAAATACAGTATCAAAACTGATCGCTGAATAAATACAAAAAAATCGAGATAATAAATTTGTTTAGTTTTTCCTAGCTGGTAAAAAATTTTATGTACGCTTGTCTTGCATTTTATGTAAGTTGTTGAACAAAACTTTGATTTCCGATTACCTCCGATGCTGGTATTTTTGTCATTTGGAGGGAAACTTCGAAACCACCGTCGGAATTTACAGTCACCATCTTCAATCTAGCTCCGAAAGTCAGAACTGAGTTGGTCCAATTCAAGTCTTGTGGTTTCCCGTTTGTATAGCAAGGGTAGTTGGGTCGATTCAAAGTAGCTGGGAAATGTTGCCAGTCGGTTCTGAGGGTGTCTCTTTGAGAACATCTGTTCAAACTTCGGTCGTGCAAAGAGTAGTGATCGGTGGCAATTGCCTAAACTCAAACAATTCTTTTTAAATCACCCTCCCCCAATCGAAAAAAGGGAAATGTTGTTATAAAGAGGTTTAAAAGTTAGATATGTTTTTTATTTGAAATAGTCCTTAAGGAGGGCGAAAATTTTTCCTTCGGTACCATAAAAGGAAAGAAATTTTAAAAAGTCATAAATACTGTATAAGAAAAAGGAAACTAACCAAAAAAAATAATCGCTTCAGTAACTAATCTTCCATTCGATCCTTGTTCAAACAAAATTTCTAAAAATGTTTAATTTCTGGCAAATTAGGCTGGGGTGGTTTTAGGGGGGGGGGGTCTCGGACGCCTTCTTCAGGAATTCGACCCCCTTTGGGATTCGACCCCCTGCCGACCCAAAGGGTCCCTCCTTTGTACTACTATTTTGAGATATCCATAATTGCTGACGGACCCTAATAATGTTCTAAAGGCGTTTTCAGCACCAATATATGTTATTTTTGAGGGGGGGAGCGCGCGCCAAAAAAGCGCGATCTTTTGGTCAGAGTTTTCCAAAAAGTGCCTAAAAATGCTTTTTTGGACTGTTTTTTCAAAGTTTTGCCTGCGGCACAGAAAGTTCGACCCATACAGGGTCTTTTTAGTGCTTGGGAAGAGCTCGGAAAATCAAAAAAAAAGGTCGAAAATTTTTTCGAAAATTTGTTGAAAATCCCCCCCCCCCCCTCGAGAAAATCCTAGATCCGCCCCTGGCTCAAATATATTTATTTCCCCATGCAGATCTCATGAAATGCTTATGTAGGTTTTGTTCAACTTTTCCGATAATTTCATATTTTTAACAAATCCTTCCCGCTATGGACTCTATAGCAAAAAGGGGGAAGTCGTGACAGTTTTCTTAAGATTTATAAGCAAAATTCACAATTTAATGATTGTGTTGCGGGTGGGTATCATTTACTCGTCATCTTAGAGAGAATGGGTAAGAAAAAATAGTTGAAAAGATTCACTTTGTTTTGTTCATTTTTTCGAACACATTTATCTTACAAGTTTTCGCCTGTGAATTATTTCCTCGTAATGATGCGACAACATTCCAGCAGACGCGGAAGTTGTGACGAGAAGTGAATCCACCATCCCATTGAAGTGCATTTTAGACCCCTCTCTGAAGTACTTTGTTGGCAGATTGTAGAGAGCCACGACCACGCCATTGTTATTTATGAAGTTTCCAGAGGTCAGAATTGAATCTCCCTTTTTGCCTAGAATAGTATACTTTATTACTAAGTTGAAAAATTAGATTATTATTTTTTTACAAGGTGTAGATTTCGGGGATTGCTTCTCTAGGTCCGTTCTCACTCTCTAACTTAACGGCACCGCAAAGTGGTCCCTTTGGTAGTGAATTCAGCGGGGCGACCGAGATTCACTACTATCCACAATCCCGAAAGGGTTAAGTTGGTGGCAACTACTCTGTACTGTATTCTGTTATTTGCCCGTTTCTATGCTGCTCTTGAGGCTGTCTTACTCACTCTCACCGATCACAAGAATTTCCAGTAGTACTTAAATTCAGATAAATATTGGTCCAAATACAGAAGGTTCTAGACGGCCCGAATATAATCTAGTAAACTAATCAAAAGGAAAGGGTCCGCGATCAATCAACACAATTGCCTAATTGCAATTCGAGTTCCAAATAACTTAGCCAACAATTGTCTCTTTTCTAGAGAATCCTAATTGTTGACTTACCCACAGTAATTCCACACAATTCACTCAGTCCGACCTGCTAAAACTAATAGAAAGAAAGAAAGAATTTATTTCTCTCTGTTAATGGTAAATTTGCATATAAAGAGAATTTAATTATGAAGCACCAGAAACAGTGAGGGGATAGTTAACGAACCCAATTTGGTTACTCAGCACTGCCCGTTTAATAGTGTCACTAAGGATCACTATTCCTTTGAGGTACTTTGACTGATCTCTTTACCTCGCAATTCCTGATTCTCTAACTATTGAGAACCCAAATAATCTCACTACTAGTTATCACTCTCTTTAGCAATTATTGTTCTCTAACTAACTGAGAACCAACCGTTTGCTCTCAGAGCACAATTTTTCTGCCTAAAGGTAGGCTACTTGCTATTCTCTATAATGCTTGTCTAATTGAGTTTTAGTTATAGTTAGAGTTATGTCGTCCCTACAAGTCCTGACATTTACTTTGATACCTTTTCGTAAAGTCATAACTGAATTCTTCCTCTGACGACACTAGTCTTAAGTTCCAAGTTCATTATAGGAATCTCTAACTAAGTTGTGCAAATATCAAGTCCAGTTTTACCTCCAAACCGAGTTATGTTTAATTAACCAAACCTACCAAGGTTATCTTTGGAGAATCGAACTATTTTAGACTTCACTGTATGTTTACTTTTCTACTCATCTTATTGACTAAACAATCTTCATAGTACGCGCTCCCCATTAGCTTTACATTATTGCTTGCAATTTGCCAAGGTAAAGCTTTCACTGGAACTCTATGGTTTTACTTTTTTTTTCTAAGTTAACCCTATCCAGCACCTTAACTTAACATAGAATCAACTTTCAAATAGCTATCCAGTCTATTAAATCTATTATAACTTACTATTAAGCTTGCCAGTCCCTTAACAACAAGGTAAATGACCCTGTCTTTTGCTCCTGTTTATCAACAGTCTGCAAGATAACTATCACGCTGATGCCAATCCTTATACTAATCCTTCCTAGTTTTATCATTACAATTCCTAAAAAGTAATCGTGGACCCGTCAGTCAATTCCCCGAGACTAAAAATAATTTAACTAGTAAGCACCATTTGTAAAGAGAATCCTTACTAGGGGATTTGTCTGCTAATAAATTTACTCTTCGTGGTGCGACGCAACCTCTCTCTTACTCAGCAGAATTAAAGCTCAATAGTTACACACAAAATACTCAGGTGGAGTCGCACTTAGAAATAAAACAAGCACCCAAGTTTTGAATGACAAAGTTTCCCGAAAATACGTTTTAGCTCACATACTCGTCGATACCAAACCGAACTGGTGGCCTTCTTATTCGAACTGGTCTACCTACATCTGTAGCCCAACATTCCAACACAGGTTCAGCTACCACCGTCTCATCTGGTTGTCTACCCTCAGCTTCGCTCGAGAATTTCGCGGCCTCTTCTTCCCTTCTGGCTTCCATCCGTCATAGGTATCCACATTGTCGCTCTGTCGTCGCAAGACTCCGTCTAGCCCAGGAGGATTAACTAGTGGCTCCACCACTACTAGATTTCTTTGCGCCATCAATCCCCTGGGTTCTTGCCTTGGGCCTGGATCATGATTAAATCCCTCCCGAGTGGTCGCCCAAAACGCCTCGTCTTCGACGTGCATCTCCGGATCGTCAAAAAAATTCGTCGACCCATATGGTGTCGGTCGCTTCCTTGCAATAGCTTCCTCTGGTTGCCTCGTGTACTCCACTGTTCGCTTCAGCATGTTGAAGTGCAGGAATTTCATTTTACTGGGAGTCGATTGCTTTGCCACCTTGTAGGTCACTTCGGAAATTCTGACCATTACAACGTATGGTCCTTCCCACGGATTGAAAGTATTCTTCGACTTAAGGTTTTCTTTAGACCACACCCAGATTTTGTCACCAGTTGCATAGGGTTCCCCGTGAATTTTCATCCAGTACTCATCCTTTTGTCGACGTTGATCCATCCCTAGGACTTCTATCGCACTGCCGTGTGCGTCTCGGAGCTGCTCGTCTAGCCATGCCGCAAAACAATCCTTTATCAAGGGTTCATCGTTGTGTTTTGCGTAAGACAGCTCAACTGGATACTGGCACTCCTGTCCATGCACCATACTAAACGGCGTAGCTCCCGTTATCCGATTCATTGTCGTATTGTACACAAAGTTCAATACGGCAAAGTCGTGTCCCACGTCCTTGGGTTGTCCACACAATACATCAAAACCCCTTCGGCCATCTTTACATTGTGCCTCCCCGTATGCTCATTTGCTCGCGGTTTGTAGGGAAGTCTGAGGTTTGTCAAAACCCAAAAATCTGCACATCTCCTGGATAAGTTTGCCTCCAAACCTCTTCCCATGATCCGTTCGCAAAACGTTCGGAGCTCCAAACTTCATGTCCCAATTTTCCACCATCTCTCGAGCCACGTCAGCTGAATCCGTTGTCACCACCGGAACTGCAATCGCATAGATCCGTCATTACCAGCACATGCTTCGCTCCGGTGCTCGTCGCCATTGTCACTGTCCCAAGACATCTACTACCACCGTAGTGAATCTGATTCCCGGATCAAATGGGGCCTGACCCGCCGCTCGCTTCTGCTTCTTTTCTGTACTCTGGTGTGCACGGCTTAGGCACCAGTTCGCCTTTCTCTCAACGTCAGTCCTCATCGTTGGCCACCAGAAACTCTTCCGTATTCGAGCCAGAGTCTTCTCAGCCGCAAGCTGTCCTCCTCCAGTCTCTATCAAATCAAACTGGCTAAGTATTTCCTTCCGTACAACCACTGGAACTAGCTTCAGAAGGTTTGGCATCGAGTCATCTCGCTGAAACCATTTTTTGTATGGTAATACATCTTTAATACTCAACTCATCCCATCTTGATCAGTAGGCCAGTACTTCGGGTCTGTACTAAATTGCCTGCTCCTATGGGATGAGGTTCGTCCCAAACGACGGCATGTCAATCGTCTCGTCGCTTGTTCCTTCCCAGTAGAATACTTGGGCGATCGCTTCGTCTTCTTTCTGCATCTTTGCAATTTCAGCGGGTGTTCGATTCCATCGAATCGTTTCGCTATCTTTGTCCGTGTTCGTCGATGTCTCGTTAACCCTCGCAACCGTTTCCGTTTTCCCCTTGGGTGTGCACCATTGCAGTGCCTTCTCTAACGAGACAACTTCGGGGTAAACTTAACTGGTGTCGTCTTCGTCGTCAGTTGCCCAGTCAGCTTGTACCTTCTCATCTTCCTCTTGAACCACCCTAACACATTGGTTCTCGTAAATACCTGGCGAACTTTCCGGTATCTCGTCAATCGAGCAACAATTATTCGAGCTCTCCTGAATCTGCCTTTCACCCATCTATGAACCCGCGATACTGTTCGGCTCTGTCTGCCCACCTGGATCTGGCGGCACCGTGGGCAGTTTTCTCGGAACCAGTTTGGGAGTCACATAACCCACCGGAACCTCGAACCCTTCCGTCGGCCCCGTGTACAATCTATCGCAACCAAAATACAAGCAACATTTGTATTTTTTCATCAATCGTAGTCCCAGGACCATCTGGTTCTTTAGCTCGGGAACCACTAATGCTTCAATGTCGTCATCAATCTCTCCTAATTTCAGATTTGTTGTGATACATCCCTCGACATTCATTCCTCGACCGTCTGCTGTCAGTAACTGGTCCTCGTATGGCCGTATCTCTGGCTTGTCTTCAAGACTCCGAGCCACCTCACTGCGGATAAGGTTCGTCGTGGCTCCAGTATTCAATGGTGTCTCTACGCACGTCCCGCGCACAAAAGCATACGTAACTGCCCCGTAGGGTCCGCTGTCTACCACATGGCTGACACCGGCACACTCGTTTAGTGTCTTCGACCCCAGCTGCACATTCGTCGTCGACTTGCACTTGTCTACTGAGGCTGTGGGTAGGCGATGAAAAAGTGTCACCTGCTCGTGTCCCACTATCATCCCACTCTGTCTCCCCTCCTCTGGGAGATGGCGCGGGCTGCTCCTTTGCGTAGTATGATGAGCTGCGGCGGCATCTCCTCTGGCTTCGTGTTGTCTTTTGGAAATGGCCGGGACAAATCCTCTTTCCAATTTTTCTACTGTCCCGGCCCTCGGTAGTTTAAATAACTCGACGTGTTTCGGGGGCATCCCTTCGCAAAGTGACCTGTCTGACAGCACTCGAAACAACTTTCCTGCGTCCCTATTGTCTTTGCGCCATAACGAGCGCTCCCGTAAGACTGTCTAATTGCACCATTTCTAACCTGATTGGGGTCAAATAACTGCCTCTGTTGCTGGGCTATTTCTTGTCGGGGTAGATTTTGTGGGTGGGGAGCGGGGTTAACAATGTTAACGAACCTACCAATCATGGCCGTCATACTTTGCATCTGTGTCACTAGATCATTCTGCACACTAACAAGCTCATTGTGCCGCGAAAACTGCAACTGCATCTGAGTCGCCAGCTCATCGTGCCGCAAATTCTGCACCTCAGTTCGTCCAGTTAATGATCAGTACTCGTCTGTGTTCTTCTACGCTCTGCTCCAGATCGTCTAGCGTTACCCATTTCTCGATCATCGTTGGTTAATCCAGACATGATTTCAGATGCGCCATGCAGCTCTCGAATATAGTTTGGCCGTCTCCCGCTTCTCGCTCTGGCAGTCTTTTTCGCCAGTTCAAGAGACTCAGCTCGTGTTATCGCCTGACTGAATCTTTCAAACTCTTCTTGTAGAAGTAACTCCTGCAGTTCTTCATCGTAGATGCCGTCTATGAACTGCTCACAGTTTATGTCGTCTCTCGCTGGCTCATTCAAGTTTCTGTTTGCCGCGTCACCTAGCGACCTGACTCGCCTCGAGAACTCTCGCAAGCCTTCCTTCTCTCCTTGAATCAGGCTCTTGAACTCAGCTCTGGCTGCCGCCCGACTCTGGAATGGCATCAGCCGTCGATCCAGTTCATCGAGCATCCTTCCTCACGTAGGCTCCGGGAAGCCATCGACTTCCTCTCTGAAATGTGCCGGCATACTTGTGGAACTCATCAAGTGCCCATCCTGGCCTGTTCATCTTTCCATTGGTTGGCATGTACAATCCAAACTTTCCTCCAGTCCTCCCAACTCTGGTAATTACACGAGGGGAAGCGATCAGGCCGTATCGTTCCAAATCCGAACATTCGCTGCTGCCTGTCAAGAGCGTTTGCCGCTGCCACCGCAGCCTCGGCTATCAACGCACGCTCTTCGTTATTCGTCTTCTGATCAAAATTTCTCGTTCAGCACAGAACGTTTTCGTAACTACAATCCAGAATATGGCCCACCCAGGAGGGCCAATGTAGATTTCGAGGATTGCTTCTCTAGGTCCGTTCTCACTCTTTAACTTAACGGCACCGCAAATTGGTCCCTTTGGTAGTAAATTCAGCGGGGCGACCGAGGTTCACTACTATCAACAATCCCGAAAGGGTTAAGTTGGTGGCAACTACTCTGTACTGTATTCTGTTATTTGCCCCTTTCTATGCTGCTCTTGAGGCTGTCTTACTCACTCTCGCCGACCACAAGAATTTCCCGTAGTACTTAAATTCAGATAAAAATTGGTCCAAACACAGAAGGTTCTAGACGGCCCGAATATAATCTAGTAAACTAATCAAAAGTAAAGGGTCCGCGATCAATCAATACAATTGCCTAATTGCAATTCGAGTTCCAAATAACTTAGACAACAATTGTCTCTTTTCTAGGGAATCCTAATTATTGAATTACCCACAGTAATTCCACACAATTCACTCAGTCCGACCTGCTAAAACTAATAGAAAGAAAGAAAGAATTTATTTCTCTCGGTTAATGGTAAATTTGCATATAAAGAGAATTTAATTATGAAGCACCAGAAACAGTGAGGGGATAGTTAACGAACCCAATTTGGTTACTCAGCACTGCCCGTTTAATAGTGTCACTAAGGATCACTATTCCTTTGAGGTACTTTGACTCATCTCTTTACCTCGCAATTCCTGATTCTCTAACTATTGAGAACCCAAATAATCTCACTACTAGTTATCACTCTCTTTACCAATTATTGTTCTCTAACTAACTGAGAACCAACCGTTTGCTCTCAGAGCACAATTTTTCTGCCTAAAGGTAGGCTACTTGCTGTTCTTTATAATGTTTGTCTATTTGAATTTTAGTTATAGTTAGAGTTATGTCGTCCCTAAAAGTCCTGACATTTACTTTGATACCTTTTCGTAAAGTCATAACTGAATTCTTCCTCTGACGACACTAGTCTTAAGTTCCAAGTTCATTATAGGAATCTCTAACTAAGTTGTGCAGATATCAAGTCCAATATAACCTCCAAACCTAGTTATGTTTAATTAACCAAACCTACCAAGGTTATCTTTGGAGATTCGAACTATTTTGGACTTCACTTTATGTTTACTTTTCTGCTCATCTTATTGACTAAACAATCTTCATAGTACGCGCTCCCCATTAGCTTTACATTATTACGTGCGATTTGCCAAGGTAAAGCATTGGCTGGAACTCTACGTTAGGCAAAAAGCGTTAGGATCACCGATCCTACACAAGGGGGGGAGAGAAAAGTTAAAACCATGGACAAATAAACGACTATTGACTATTATGACTAGGGAGTGGAGAAAAGTTTAAACATTTTTTTTTGATTTTTTACTTTTTGCTCAAAATTTAGTAAAAATTAAGCATGAAAGTTTTTGCTCTCACTTACCCTGAAAACAACGAAATGAATTATGAAATTATGAGGTTTTCCTGTATGTATTTTTAAAATATTTTTTTTTATCCCCAGAATAAATTAGAACCAAAATTCACTTATTCCCGCTCCCTGATTAGTAGTTCAACTTGCAATAATGTGCTCTGCAGTTGGTATACTTTCTACTGTAAATCAAATATTGAATGAAAAACCATCAAAGTCAAATGATAAATCACATTAAAAATTTAAGGAAGAAAAATTGTTGGCCCGAACTTTTTTTATCTATTATACTGCACAAAGATTAGTTTCTCGACAGTTTGCTCAAAAATATTCGGCAGTTTGCGCGAAAAAAAGATCTATTATACTGCACAAAGATTAGTTTCTTGACAGTTTACTCAAAAATATTCGCAGTTTGCTCAAAAAAAGATCTATTATACTGCACAAAGATTAGTTTCTCGACAGTTTGCTCAAAAATAATCGGCAGTTTGCTCAAAAAAAAGATCTATTATACTGCACAAAGATTAGTTTCTCGACAGTTTGCTCAAAAATGTTCGGCAGTTTGCTAAAAAAAGATCTATTATACTGCACAAAGATTAGTTTCTCGACAGTTTGCTCAAAAATGTTCGGCAGTTTGCTCAAAAAAAAGATCTATTATACTGCACAAAGATTAGTTTCTCGACAGTTTGCTCAAAAATGTTCGGCAGTTTGCTAAAAAAAGATCTATTATACTGCACAAAGATTAGTTTCTCGACAGTTTGCTCAAAAATGTTCGGCAGTTTGCTCAAAAAAAAGATCTATTATACTGCACAAAGGTTAATTTCTCGACAGTTTGCTCAAAAATGTTCGGCCGGTCAGTGAAAAAATATTGTTGAACAGAAAACAGTCGCTCGATATCCATCAAAATTCTCGAAACAATAGCATATGTAGCCGTGTCTGATAGACTTTGAACACCTCTGAACGTAAGCCAGCGTTTTTGGCGCCAACTGAAATGAGCTTCTATATCACATGATACAGTTTGGGGTATTTTCGGCCCTTTAGGCCCTTTTCTTAAGCAACACTTCTTCTCGGGTTTTTCGGCCTTTTTCGGATGTGCTCAAAAAAAAATTTCTTACTTATTTAACAAAAGAAAACTAATATTTGAAGGGAGAATCCCTTTTGTAAAAAAACACTAAATGTGGAAAAAAAAATTCAGCAAATCAGACTACAATGTTCTTTAAATTTAAAAAGAAAGAGATAAAAAAAGTCAATGCATAAAAAACTTATGCATAAAAAGCTACCTGAATTGTCTCAAAGCTGTCTTTCACAAAAAATATAACGAAAATAACAAACTTTTAAATTTTGGCAAAACTTTTCAGCGAAGATTATTTGAGTTCTTATTTTATCACACATTGATTAAAGCAAAAATAAACATGCTATACAAAAGAAATAGGAGTTTTCAGCGTTTTTGAAAAATTTATTGAGCAAAACGGAAAAAAATCCAACATTAGTGTGTCCAGGACTACGTTATGCACACAAAAAATCAAATTTCAAAATTCCTTGAAAAATTTTTTTTAACGCCATCAAAAAAATGCTAGTCATTCAATTTCCATATATGGAAATCGTATGATAAGCATTTTTTAATCAAAAAACAAAAACCTCGGTGTTTTTATCCCCAGACTGTTTTGTTAGAATCAAACAGCCGCGCAAATTAATGTATATTTTTTTCTAAATTGTAAGAAAACTGTATGACAAACATTTTCCCACAAATTTGATTTGTGGAATTGTATGATAAGCATTTCCTTAAGTATACCGAGCCGAAAAATAGTAAATAAAATATTTTATAAAACAGTATAAAAACAAACTTTGATGCACAGATTGAACAAGACTAAAAGTGGATAAAGTTGCAAGTCATTTTTGCAACTTTATCCAATTTTTTTCGTTTTTTCGGAAAAATTGTTTCATGCGCCTAGAAGAATAGCAAAAAAACTAATTAAGAAAATTTTTGAACATTTTTTGCACGGATAACTGTGATGGGAACCATCTATATGTCTATTGAGTTAAAAAGTTCCGCTCATTTTTCTAGTGGAACAACTTGAGGGAGGAGCAAAACATTTTGCTCAAATAATTCAAAATTTTTAATGAGTAATGCACAGTTTTGAAATCCATGAACTTAACTTAGTTGAATAAAATGTATGATTGCGAAAGCGCTTAAAACTACTAAATATGAAACAACTTTTGGAATATTTTATTTGCAGAAAAACAAAAAGACAGAGAACAAAAGTGTTCTGATTTTTTGAGACTTCAATGAATGCTAATTTACGACGGTGTTCACTTAGCAAAGCATCAAAATGAAGTTTTTTCAAAATACAACATTTCGGATTGAATAAAAGGTAATGACCTTAATATACTCATTAACGAAGTCAAGAAGACTTTTACAAACACCTCTTTGTCTAAAAACTGTAATGCTGAGGGTTATTTCAACAAATCTGTCGCTGTCACTGAAACTCTAAGCCTGATTCCATTTAATGCAGGGCAATTCGCCATCGAGAACAAAATTAGCCCAGTTCTAGTCCAAATTCGGGGCTTATAACTTTTCAGAAATCGTCAAAAATTTATTGCAGCTAAAATTATGATACAAATTGACTTCAGGGAGTCATTACTTTTGAAAGTTAAGACAAAGTTTTGTTTTAAACTAGTCTTTCGATCATCAAAGTTGGACTTATTAATATAAACTACCCCAGGCATACAAATTACTTACTCTCTTCCAAAAACGGGGAAAAAGTTTCTAAAGTTATTGAAGTTTCCATAATATTGAGCAGGAAAAAAACTCAGATTTGAAACGTACTAGTGATGACGAATGAAGTTGCAGAAGGCAAATTGCATCCAGCGAGTGAACTCTTTTGAACATCTTTGCACAAGTAGTTCCTGTCTGATTTAATTTGGTCGTTGTCTGGTCGCAATAGCAGCAAGTCATCTTTCAAGGTCAGTTGGCATCCAGGTTTGGAGTGAGAATTAAGAAAGGTCAAACCAGCTTTGGTTCTCGCACTGCAAAACAAATATTTCGAACGTAGTATGGAATTTCAAAGCAAAATTTTGTAAGCCAGAAAAATTACAAGAAAAACATGTCCAATGGCCTGTTTTGCTGCAATTGTTTTGTGGACAACTGTTATTAGGGTCACTTAGATTTTTTTAGATTGTCATAATTATTTGCTTCAGATCTCTATCACATTGTAAAGCATTTATCTTTTGATATTTAGCATGATAGATTTAGCATGATCTTACCAAGGTATCGGAGACCAAGTCACCATTGATATCTTGGCGAAATTTTGGACTGCGAAAATTGCGACAAATAGATTCTTACATTGTTTGAACAACTTGATTTTCTTGCCAACATCTTGCGTGGTTATCTTATCAAGAATTTACAGGATTTTGGTCGAATATCTATGTGAAACTTGGTCTTAGAAATCTTGGCAGGATCATGCTAAATCTTATCAAGAAACTAAAAAGGTATCTTACTTCGATAATCCAAAAATAACCATGTATTTGGCAACATTTTCCAGGATTAATATGCTGTGTATTAATATATCAGTATATCCTTTCATTTCAAATGAGAAGCCAAAGTGTTCCAACAATTTTCGTTTCTAAGATTGATTGGTGAAAAATTCAGACTAAAGGGAGATTTCAAAAAAAAATCAGGAAACACTTGAAAAAATGAACACTGGCTGAAATTTTTTATATCGAACAAGCGGAAAAGGTTTCGTAATTCTTTAAAAAGTAACTGAAGATTATTTTGCCGTTCATTGATAATGGTGATCAAAATTTTACACAAATTTGAAAAAAAAATTCGGCCGTTTTTTGGAATTTTCAAAATAATTGGGGAAATGGTTAAAAGTTAGGCCTCATGAACCATTTTTTGCAAACATTTCTTGATTTAGATATTAATTTACCTCATTTAATAATCATAAAGAAACAAATTCAAAAAGCATAAACGTGAATAAATCATAACAACAATGGCTTTCAAAATATTCTGGTCAATGTTAGGAACAAAAACCGATTTGTCAAAATATTGAATCTAAAAATTATTTGTGAATTTTATATTTCAAGATGTCTGAGAACTTACAAAAAAAACGAGTTAGAAAATGAAAAAAAATCATATTTAAAAAATCCTCTTCCCCACTTAAGAAAAACAGAGAGGTAAATTTGCATCTACTTAATTTTTATTTAGATCAGATAGCGATGCAAGAAAAGAAGATTAGTTTCGGAGCTGGATTATTTCACGGCATCTGGCTACGCCTTAGTATGAATTTGGAAACTTTTTGCACTCTAATTATGGTAAAATAATCCACTCTCAAACTTATATAGTTTTATTTCAAAAATCATAAACATTTTTTCGCTTAAACATTTTGAAAAATGGGGGGGACTTTGAATTTGGGAGTGTTTTTTACTTTTTTCTTTTTGTTTCTTTTTAGGTTTTTTTGATATTTTTTGTTTTCTGACTTATTTTTCTACATTTTTTGCCTATTTTACTATGGCTGTCGAATATTCCTAAATTCCAGTTTTTTTGCTCAGATCTTTTTATCACACCATACAGAAACAAACGAAACTTAGTTATTTGAAACAAAAAAAGTAAATTTTTTAGACTATGGTCGGAACATTCTGTGCTACTAGCGCAGTAATCGGCTATCCTTGTTCATATTCGAGGTCAGAGTATCCATATCTTTCAGTTGAGTTCAAAATTTTGTCAAAAACGGTTAAATAATAGGTCAATGATGATTTGATAACAAACAAGACTGCTCGTATCAGGACAAAGCGCTGAAATTACTGATGAGTTAGCAGCTTTTAGGAAAATAAATGATCTTTTTGTTTCTTTTTCACCTGCGATTTTGTTTGTAGTGTTTGGGGGTTTGAAAACTGCCAATTTGGCCACACTTTGGACTAATTTATGCACGCCGTTAAGATTATGTTGAAGATGCTGAAAGCGTAGCGGATTTTTTTCTACGAGTGGCGGCGTGTTCCGCACTACAATTTTGTTTGAAATTGAATTGAGGCATGCTAATCGGTTGAAATAATTTCGTACTACTCAATTTTTCTCACTTGATGAGTGAGAGATAGTAAACAAAATTTATAGTTTTTTTTATTTTTTCCAAACAACTATTCGATGGCGATTAAGGGGCAGTTGCGAGAAGTCTTGTAGACTTTTGGGATTCCTAGGTAAGTCAATTTTTTCGATCAGGAAAACTCGCGTCTGAAAAGTTTTGTAAATTTAACTTTAAGTTTATATGAAAAAAAATCATGCAATCATTACAACGTAAATCTAAATGATATTAGCTTTTTAATTTTTTAATTACCTCCAATTGCATCTGGAACTGCTAGCACATTTTGTGCATTCTTCTGTCTCCAAATTGGCCCCGTTCAAGCAATGATCAGATTGTTTCAATTCTGATGAGATTATGCATATGGTTGGATTGTCTCTGACGCGGATCAGAACTAGCTCGCCTATTAAAAAATCAGTAAATGAAGTTATTGCTTTAACCTTTGTATGGATTTATTAAACTTATGCTGCAATGAAAATTGAAGAACTTTTTAATATTAACCGACGAATATTCTTCCTCAGTTAGCGACACTCAAGAAAAAAGGAAAGGTTGATTTTTTAAAATTAAACTACATTATCTGTGACCCTCTTTATCAAAAACTTTTTGAAGCAGAAAATTTTTGAAAAATTTTTGACATTCTGGAGAATTGTTTTTGTCGAAATGTAGAATTTTAATTATTAATACTTGGCAAAAAATGTGAGATAAAAAAACGTTTTACATATTCCTTGATATGAATTCTCGGCATGAAAAAAGCTGGTAAAAATACTTTTATCGTGCTGAAAAGAAATGGTTTGTAAATATGATGTAGAAAAAAGCGAATAACTTTCTCTGAAACAGTTTAAAACCGATAGGTTTGCTACCAACGAGTAGCTGAATGCACCAATTTCGAATAGTGCCGAATTAATTCAAACCCATTCTTTTGCGGCCTTCATGGCTTGAACCTTCTCCTACAATTTTTACACACGTTTACATCGAGGTGGATCTGCCCATATATCTCTATTTTATACAGTTCCTGTACTTCTTAAAAACTTTGACAAAAAATGTGGAAGTTATGCTTTTGACACAATATTTCGTATTGATGTTCGAACAAAACGAAAAACTAAAAATCACGGAATGGATGGTAGCGCAAACTTTTTAAGCACTGTGTAGAATTCATGGAGAAAATGGTTTTAGAAGCATGACTTAACAATGTTTATATATGAAACATTTTCAAAGTTTTGTTCCTTCTGAACGAAAAAGCTCATAGTAATCGAAATCTTAAGAATTAAAAAAAATTTTGAGGGGAGACTGTTGTTTTTGGGCTGTTTTTCTAAACATTGCCTGGGGAGCAGAATTTTTCCTCAAAATATGATCTTTTTAGTGTTTTTTCAGAGAGCTCGGAAAATCAATTGGGGTGAATTAAACGAAGGTCGACAAAAAAGTGATTTTTTTTGAAAGTCTGTCACGCTCCTTGAGAAAACCCTAATAAATCCATTATACTTCTAATCATGCAAATACGTAATACGCAATGCTCAACATAAGATTCTCACCGTTTCCTAGAGTCCGGATAGATATCAAATTGAACTCATTTGGCCGAAGGATCCCCAGTTCGAAAACGTGAGTCAGGCTGAAATCAGTCTGGGCAGAATAAAGGGACAGTGACAGGTCGAATCTTTGAGAACCGTCAGATGTGTCTTCAGTCTGCAAAAACTAAGTTTCATTCTTTTTTTGTTCAGTATGTAAAACATTGATTCCTTATCAATTTAGTAAGCCAACATGTTTATAGTTCCAACAATGGGGACGAACGCTGTAATTGGGGTCAGTGGCGGTTTTAGGGGGGCGGGGTGGCGGACCCCCTGCCGACCCAAAGGGTCCCCCTTTTGTACTATTTTGAGATATCCATTTTTGGTGACGGACCCTGAATTTTTTCTAAAGGCGCCTTGGGCGCCAATGTATACTAATTTTAGGGTGGAAGCCCGCGCCGAAAAAACGCAATTTTTCGGTAAAAATTTTCCAAAAAGTGCCTAACAAATGGCCTGTTTTTCAAAATTTTAAGGACTATTTTGAATATTTGAGTTTAATTGGGAAAAATACTTTGCTTGCTTATACTAGTTTTTGTATAAAAACCATGAGAAAAAAGCGTTAGGCAGCTGGGCGCTTGCAGAGCAACCGGTTATCCTTGTTAACAATTTCCTGTTGCTTTTAATTGATTAAAGAAATTTTTGAACCAGCTAAATAACTAAATAGTTTATTTTAAAAACTGTGAACCTGATCATTCACTGACTAGAAAAAAAAAAGAAACATATGTATTTTTACAGTTCCTTTGACAAAAAATGTGGAAGTTATGCTTTTGACACAATATTTGTAATTCAAAATCCCGCAATTACTTGAAACAGTTGCTCGACCTTTTAATTTTGTTCAAATGTGTACTACGATGTGTGTAATGCACACCGTACGACAGACAAAGATTGGGATATGTTTTTTTTCACGCGAAGCTCAGGTACCATAAAAATACATAGAAACAAAAATGAGTGTTAAACCATTTAAGAACGCTCTCTGTCGCCATTCCATCTGCAAGGACGAGTTAAACTTTTCTACCATTTTACTTATGTCGACTGGTTTGAACTTTTTGATTCTTAGACAAATTTTCAGCAAACATTGGAAGCGCTGTTCATACTAAACGTCTTTTTCAACTGTGTTAGTAAAAGAAGCTCTCGATGTGAGTAAAAAAAAACGATAAAACTGCAAAAAAAACTTTTTTTTTTGTTGGAACTTTTCTGCAAAAATCACTGCTGCCAAAACTTACCTGCTACTCACAGGAACTCAAAACTTCTCAAAGTCGAAACATTAATCAGATCGCGTACCTCAAAGTTGTTTTGTGGACTCTGCTGAATCTGGATTTCGATGAAGTCGTTCTGGTCGAATGATTTCTGGTCCACATTTACTTCATTGATCTCAATTCTAATTGATTGATATGACTGACAATTATTAGGAAGCCAAGGAGAAGATGTTTCACTATCAATTGACATCCACTGGCTGTTACACAGATGCACACGTATGTTTCTGTAAGAAAATAGAAAAAAATGAAGAAAAAAAAATCTTAAGAAATTCAGTTTAAAATGAAAACATGAGACCATAGCAAACAAAAGTTTTCTGGTCATGCTTTGAGTTCGTGTATCCTTTTTAAGCTTTTCAAGCCATAGCGAGTTTTTTTTTTACTCAATTAAGCAAAAAATATATATCCATAGTTCCGGAATTTACGCTATTTACACTGTTGTATCCCTTTCCGAGAATTAAAGGCTTTTTTTCTGTACTGGGTAATGTTAATTGGTTCGCCATATTGGTCAACTTAGAGACAGATTTTTATAGCTAGTTCACTGCATAGTTTTGTTAAATTGAGTGGTCCTTACAATAGATTTTGAGATTCTATTATAAGGACCACTTTGTAATAGAATCTCAAAACCATTTTATGGAAAAAGAACATCAATATCAGAGTTTACCTTTCAAGATGTTGATTTCTTGTTAAGTTAACTGCACATCTATCACTGTTCGGAGGAATTGTTGCTGGTCCTAATTCGTCTGTGATGCATATCTCCACCAACATCGAAGCCTGACTGTATATTTGAATTGAGGTCAGTAATGCGAACAAATCAAGGCCTAAAATTTAAGGAAAAAAGTTGTATCAAATTTCAACTAGATTCTTGTTGATTGAAGCACTCAATGAAAGATCGGTTGTCACAAAAAGTGTATTTTAATTTAATTGGTTCTTAAGCTGAAATTTAAGCTGATAAATTTAAGCTTGATAGATTAGTCCGTAACTGGGGCAATTTTTTCAAAGAGTATGGCTTGCTGTATTTTACATATAATAGTAACACCGCTTACCGTCAGGCGGAAATGATAATTTGTTTGAAGGAAGTTTGAAGATTATAACTGCAAAATTCTCGTTTGTGATTTCCGACTCAACTCGGATCTGCTGCTGTTGCTCGTTGTTTCCAAAATTGAAAACCAGCACAAAGCCTGAAGGAGAAACAACGTCGTTAGGCTAGAAAACTTTTGGCGCTAAGCTAAAACTAATTTTGATACACAGAGGCGAAGCGGAACTTCGCACGACTTCCAATACCACAGAAACATAACATTGCACGCTAGCAGACAGATAATGAGACGAAAGACATTGCGTCTATCACACATTTGGAGAAAAAAAATACAAACGAATGCCTAAAGTAAATCATTATTAATTTTAATTGTAGGAAGATTGCTTGAATTATAATAAAAAATCTGCACGGTGACAAATAAGTCGACAGTAATTAAGCAGCTCAATGATAGGCGGACATTTTTCTTCTGCCTAAATTTTTTTTGAGATTGCAAAAAGATTCTGGCCGGATTCAAGCTCCAAACCTTCAATTTTATGAATTGCGCCGTAAGCTCGGGTTGACCAAAAATGCTATTTATAATTTTTAATATTAAGAAAAATGCTACTCATACAGTTTTCATGCTATTCCATAAGTACGGAAAGTTGCTTGAAACGTCTATGATTAGAGATTTTTCATAAATAGAAATTGTATCACTAGAGTAACCCAACACAATTGGCAAAAACCTTGATTATTCAAAAACAGAATCACCAACGTTTCGACCGTCTAGCAATTACAATTCATCCCAAGGCCTGAGTTGTCTTAGTTTTGTCTTAAACAAATGATATAATGAAAGTATGAAGTTTTTAAATTTTGGCCAAAAACTTCAAAAGTGCTTATTCATAATGTGAATTTTTAATTAATCATGGATTATGAAGGCATACAAAAAATGCCATGCAAAAAAATCGGCGTTTTGAGCGTTTTTGATAAAGTATTATGAAAAAGGGAAAAAATTATCTTTCGTGTACCCAGGACAAGGTTATGCACACAAAAAACTAATTTTTTTGTGCAAAAAAAATTTTAGAAAATGTTTGTTTGAAAACAAAATTTGTTTTGCGATTGAAAAAAAGAAAGATTTTTTGAGGCAACTTGGATACTACTTTCAAAATTTTTTGTTGTCGCCATCAAAAAAATGCTAGCCATAGAATTTCCGTATATGGAAATTGTATGATTAGCATTTTTTTGACCAATTTTTTTTAAATTTATAAAGATACACCAATTTTTATGCCAAAAGAAGAGAAAGTTCTTTGAAATTTCAATGACTTCATTTTAGCAAGATAAAAATTTTCCGTGTGTGGAGGTCAACCCGGAAAAACTCAATTGTCTGTTGCAATTGATGTGTGAAGTGCAACAATTTGTACTGCAACATTTGACTACGAATGAAAAATCTTTTCGAATCGCTCAAAGTTGCAAAAAGCTTTTATGAATATTTCCCCCAATAATATGAACAAATTTTTTCTAAATACCTCTTTTTCCATTCCAAGGAATTTCGCAGTAGATTTCAATAAAAGACGATTGGTATGGCTGCGGCGAAAGAAGCATCTCAGTCACGTGGATTTTCCCGCGAATTGCTTTGTCAACAACCACAGTCTTTTCCTGGTGACTCGTCGATGAGTAATTCACTGACTGATGGCAGTTGTTTGATGTTCCGATTGATGGTACAATATTTTTGAGATATTCTCCGGAGCATAAGCTGAACCCGTCTCCCTCTTTGGCTAGGATGTCTATGGTCAAAAGCCCGGGCGGGTCACTTTTTTCATTTATTATTTCTGAAGGTTTCGCGGATATTGAGAAATTGACAGGCTCTGCGATAAAATGTGGCGAGCATTTAAAAATAGACTAAAGTTTAACTGAAATTTCTTTTTAGATCATTTATTTCATTTGGTGATTAAAATAGCCCAGACCAGGTTTTTCTGGGAAAAGAATGATTACTGGAAATCTTATAAATTAATGTTTCATCTTTCTTTTATTTGTAAAAAAAAAACGTACTTTTGAAAGGTTTGTTTCAAATGCTCGCCATACTCGTGGCTTGTAAGAATGAACGACCAGGTATTTTGGATGAGAAGCCACAAGTAAATTCCAGGTAAACGAACGCCGGTTTTTTCGACATGCCCAGCGAAGATAAGAGTTGTCCGAAATCCAGACAAGCAAACGGAAATTGAGCTTCGGGGTGGTGTATGTAATTTAAAACATCGACCCGAACGCTGTTTGTTTGGTCGGCGTGACTTTGATTGGCAGAGAATTGGCATTGAAAGTTAGGCAACAAATCGAGCTTTAGAGAGGATTCGAACTCAATAATCAGTTCTGCGGCAGACAAAACTATTTCGTTGATTACCAGCAGAGGGCGTCGTGAATCTGATAATTTCAAACAGATATTTCATGATCATTCAAAGTTACTCATGAGAATACAAGTAATTTTTTTGAAAATTCTCAATTCCTTCAACTTTGCACATGAAAGTTTAAGTGGATCTATGTTTTTGAAAACTTATCAAAAAACTGATTCTTCCTGAAAACCCGCACCAAATTTTCTCCGTTTATAATCAATTATCTGGCGATTTTGTGTTCACAAACAAATTTAACCCTATAACAATCAATTATATGACAATTTTATGTTCGAAGACAAAAATGAAAGATTATATAGTCATTATATTGTTTCAGGCATATAATGGCATCAAAATCTATTTTTCGCCATTTACTCGCTAACAAAACATGAATAATTGTAAGCATGATTTTTTGCCTTAAGACAACAAAATCAAATCACTTCTTTTGTAAAATCTTATTACTAAGTGGGTTGCAAATTTTTAGCGAGTTTTTTAGCTGCTTAATTTTCAATTTGATAATCTTGATTTTTAGTATATCAGCTCAATGTGCATTCATGGTGCATTCCTTTTTCAATTTATTGCCTTTCTATTGTTTTGGAAATTTCAATCATCAGGACTTTCTAAAAAAATTCTAGCATAAACTGAGTTTTCTACGGTCAATTTTTAGGTAATTCATGGTCGCAATGCTTCAATTATTTTGTTCTTGTGTTTAGATCTAGTTGCTTGTTAATGCCTCATTTGATTACCTTACATTGTTTTTTGACTAAAATCATCAGGATTTTATAAAACAAATATTAAGCAGATATGATTTTTTTTGACGATTTTTCTCTTGTAGCAGAATTAGAGGGGGCACGAGTTAGCGGATATTCCCTCCCCCACAGAGCTTTAGAAAAATTTCTGGGCCGGCTAGCCGAAATGGATATCTTGAAATAAAACCATAGAAGGACCGTCTGCCGACCAAAAGGGTCCCTCTGTAGTACTATTTTAAGACATCTATTGGATGACCGACCTTAAAATCTTTTTAAAGGCGCCCTGGGTGCCAATTTTTACTATATTTAGGTGGGAGTGCGCGCCAAAAAACGTTATTTCACAGAAAAAATTTAAAAAGTTTGAGCAAAAACTGAGTTTTTACAAATGGTTTTCAGTTAAATCATGGTCGCAACAGTCCATATTGGTTGCTCTTGTTTTAGGATAATAAAAAGCTTTAAAAATTTTTGCTTATAGTGAGTCATGTTTTTACGTTTTTAAAAAGACTTCCTGGGGATTTTTATGGAGACAGAAAATTGATTTTTTCAATTATATGGTAAGAAAGTAGATTTTCTTGCGATTATAAGGGGAAAAAGATTATCTTGAAACTTTGGAGATAAAAATAGATTCTGGTAAAATTATAAAGCGATCTAATAATTGTGGAAGTAATCCATTTTCGCACTATTATAATAGAAAATTTTGCATAAATTGCAAAATTTTAGACAAAATTTTAGACAAAATTTTCTCAAAATATTTCTTTTTTGTCCGTGAAACTTCGGTGCGGGGACTCTGTTGCTTAAAAAAAAGTTTCATTTTATTGCCATTTCATATGACAAAAATGGATTTTTTTTTCAGTCCGAACATGCATTGAGGGAATTTAATTGGTCGCACCATGTTTGACCGATCTGAGAGTGATTTCATGGTCTAATAGTGGACAGTGGTTCTCTTTGCCCTCAGTGGCCAAAAAGGTCCATAAAAAGGCAGCAGGATTCAATGGCTCCTCCGACAAACATCTTGAAACACTCATATTGGCTAAAAAAATGAAAATAGTAAAATCTAAAAAGATAAAACACACGTCAGTTCGAGATAATTCCTAAAAATAATTGATTAATCATATCATTAGTTAACTGAAATATTTTTGATGGCTCTGTTTTTCATCATTAGTTGTTTTTTTTCCTAAAAATTTTCCTAAACATAAATCAGTAGATAATTGTTTTTGATACCTGCGTTTGCTGCGTACAAAGAAGTGTCAATGAAAAAAGGAAGTCCCGCTTTTCGAAGCAGAAGTTTGCCTGCATAGAAAGAAGAAGACAGCACTAGCGAGTCAAGAACCAACACTGATTCGTCCTGATTGCCCTTATAAGTGTCATAGTTCCAGCACAGATCATTTTGACCATTTTCATCACCTGGGCTATTCTGGCCCAAAGGAACTAGTATCACCGAGATTAAAAGGGTTGCAGATGTTGATCCAATGTTAAGGTAGTTTTTCATTGATACCTGCATGATAAGTATTTATAATAAACCTTAGGTTATCTTGGATTCTTCAACCGAATAGTTTTTTTTAATTATTACCGTTTGATAACGGTATGTAAGACCACTTTCTGCAGCTTTGTGTGCTGGCTGATTCCATTCCACTAGGAGGGCGAAGACTCTTCTAAATATTCACACATGATGTTATTTTACAACATATTCGTAAAATTTCAATTTTTAAAATGAATATAATTAAAAAAAAAGCTTAATTCATTTTTGCTAATGTATGTTTTGTGCAATCAAAGTTTCCACATCATTTTTGAAATTGGTAACATTTTGAGCATTCTAAAAAACAATTTGACAATCACATCAAGATCAGCAAAATTAAACGATTTTGAGCTTTGAAATCCTTAAGCATAAATCTTATAATCCTAGAAAAGAATAGAAAAGTTTGAGCTCGCAGTGAACTTTTTTCGGGTTGAAAACCAGACCTGACCTGCTCGCTGTTCCGCTACTTGTTTCAACCACAACACATGTAGAAAGATTGGACCACGAAGCAGAAGAAAACTCTGCCTCGGATGCTTTCAACTCAACAGAAGATTCCTCTTCATGGGACCCCAATACAACTTCATTGATCAGCACAGATCCCAATGGCGACTTCTACACAACAGAAGAATAATAACATCAAAGATATTTTAAACACAATTGGGCAGAATCGTTTTTGTGGGCGAGCAATTAGACGTTTATATTGTTTTCGCGAGAAGAAACTTCTGAAAATTTTACTTGTTTGGACTCTTTCTTACTTCAGCTTTTGTTTCAACATCGTTGTTTCAAACTAATCAGAGTATTCCCCGATTGGAAAGCTACATCATAATGCAAAAAAAGACCAATTGAACAAACTCTCCCATAAATCAATTGTTATCTTTTTTTTCAAATTTGTCTCGTCAGGTAGACGGATGAAAAGTAAGCTTGGAAGCATTAATAATGGCTACGATCGACAACAGGTATCTTTTGAATTTCAAAGCAAATCGAAAGCAAACTTTTTCAGTTTTTTCATTTTTTTTTGTTTTTTAAATATTTGCATGTCAGCATGTTAAATTATTTTAGGCTCTGCCTTTTTGCTTCATTTGCTTCCAATTTGGAGTAAAAATTGTAAATCTAAACCAGTTTTTTCTCTATACTGAGAAGCAATTTTGAAATATTCATTTATCGATCGAATCATTGAAAAGATTTTCAAATTATACATCACTTAAAAAAAATTGACGCTCATTTGTGGTACTTGTTTTTGCGAGGAAAAACAAGTTAAAAAAACAAGGATAGCCTGCGACTGTGCAAGTAGCACAGAATGATCCGACCATAGTCTTAAGAAAAAACGAAAATATTTTCAAGTGAGTGTCGTTTTTTTTGCGCGTTGTGATAAAAAATCTGAACAAAAAAAGATGAACTCAGGCATAATCGACCTTCATAGTAAAAAAGACAATGGGAGAACAGTTTTTGCAGTTCTATGAGAGAAAAATGAAAAAAAATTTTTTTGAAAAATTCAAAAAAAAAAAATTTTCAAGTTGTTTTGCAGAAAGTTTTTGGTTTTTTTGAAGTTTTTAACAAAGAGTGTTTTAAAATTTGCAATCATCCACTCCCATAAATGAAGAACGAGTGGTTGACACTTGCCAAATTCTATATTTTTCAGTAAAATGCGGAAAATTTTGGTCAATATGCGTTCGTTATATGCGGTTTTACAAAATATTGTAGTAGCGAACATAGTGCTAATGAAAATAATTTTTTTCTTGAATTCGTTTTTGTTTTCTGATTAAGCACTATATCATGTAATCCTGTTTTAGCTTCGTGGAAAAAAAATGACAACAGCCTCCGACTATTCTGACTGCCCCTTAATCCATATCAAAAAGTTTTTGGGGAAAAACATATTGGAAAACTATAAATTTTTAGAAAATCGAAGATCAAGTGTAAAAAATTGAGTCGTACGACCTATTAGCTAGCCTCATTTCAATTTGGAACAATTTTGTCGCCGCACGCATAAATAATTTGCGTTACGCTTTCAGCATTATAAATAATGGTTCAAAGCGCGCATAAATTAGTCCAGAACATAGCCAAATTGGCAATTTTCAGACTCCAAGAACTTTACAAAAAATAATTTGAGGTAAAATATCTTTCAAAATTCGGTTTCAGGGAGTCATTATTTACAATGGGGAACAAAATGATTTATTTCGATCGCCGAAATTTGACGATCATAAATATTCCATTTCCAAGCATAAATATTTCGTTTTCTTCGAAACTCGGAACACCAAAAAACAGATTACCACATTAGAGGAAATTGTGTTTTAGTAAAAATGGTTCATTAAGATTGAAAAACACAGATTTTTGACTTCAAAAAACCGACCTTTCGCTGACACGGCTGCTCTGTTTGCTGCTTCTTCTGAGGAGAAGACCACTCGGCCACCAGCATCTGGGATCCCAAAGACATGCCAAACAACTCCAGGGAGATCAAAGAAAAAGTAATATTTCCGCTGGTGTTGAACTTGTCCAGGTCGAAAATCATCAATCCTCTCTTCGACCAATCGGAAGACTCAACCATGAATTTCTGCAGCTGGGACTTTAGTAACTTTTAACCAGTATCAATTTGAATTAACTTTTTTTGAAGATGATGAAAACTTGTTTTGATGGTTCCTAGACGATGACTGAATATTTTTCAGCGAAGCCGGGCGCTGCAATGGACGCATCACGTTAAAAAAGCATTTTCGGTTTGTGAATCTTTTTTGTAAGGGTTTTCGGGTAAAAAAAAATGACAGACTTTATTACTAGTCAAATTTACTAGCAATTCTACTACTAATTGTTTAACGACTATGTTCATGTGTTTTTTGAAATACATTTTAAGAGCTCTATAACTCTATTTTAAGAGCTCTATTTTAAGAGCTCTATAACATTTTAATGTGCTTAAATGATTTTTACTTCATCAAAAAGTGATTTTTTTTCCGACGAATAAAATTTCTTATAATCGGTTACAAACGTATTTAGGGGGCACCTAGCATACTGGTGCGGCTCACTTCGAGAGCGTCAGATAGAACCACGTGATTTCTAGACGCACAAAAAATGAGTCAGAAAAAAAGAGCTTCGCTCTTTGCTCAACAAAAAAAAACGTCTGGGATATGGGAAAAAGACAAATATATAAATGCTTAGATAGACTGAAAAGCCTTTCATAGATCCTCTGCGAATTCAAATTCAATTTCTGACAATAAAATGCTGAAAAATTTCACCAAAACTACCAAAAATTTAAGTCCCAGTGCCTGGTTTCTCTTCTGCACCCAGAGTTGTCCTCTCAGCTCCCAAAAAGAATCATAATTTCCACAGATCTCATACTGCACTTGTGCTTTATACGAGTGAGGAAGCTGTTTGATTTCACGAATGGCAACCAGACCAAGATTGATGCAGTTGTTTGGCTTGCCGGGGGAGGGGGGAGTTATGGTCCAGGTGTTATGACAGAGTGATATACTTTGGTTGAATGAAGGGGTCAGTTGACGAGGTAGTACTATCTCGTACGAGCTGAAAATGGAAATAAAGCTTAAGATCCTGTATACTAGAAAAGGTATTCTAAATTGTAGATCTTGTATACTAGAAAAGGTATTCTAAATGAGATTTTTCTCATTTATTTTTCTTAAACCCTGAGAATGGTTGGAAAATTTTCTGAAAATTGCTTCTGTGTAATAATTGGACTTATTAGACTGCACCGATGTTTGTTCCCTTTTTCAAAACTGATACAAGATAAATTTCAATAAGTCAGTTTAGAGTTTTCCATTACAAAAATTATCAAAAACCTAATTTTTTCGCATGGAGTAACAGCTAACTGTTTCTATGATTCGATACCCCCCTTTGATACTTTTTAAGAAATCATAATAGATAATTACTTCTATTATAATTAAAGCGAAATTGTTGGCAATATCGATGAACTTGAGCAAACAAATTGGTCAAAAACAACATTTTAGGTTAATTCGCTTTTTGTAAACCGTTATTACCTGTGAAAATCAGTAATAAGATGAAATTCGACGTCAAAATGAGCAGTTTTAGGTTAATTAACTTCTTTCAAATTCGTTCCCCGAAAAATATATTGCCAACACTTTGAAATAAACTATAAAAACAAACTCACCGTGGAATAGAGGAGACGTCCTGGAGCAGAAGCGTACAGAGTGATTTGGGGGAGTAAACTTGAGTGGCTACTTCGGGGACGACGAAGAAGGCACATCTGCTGTAGTAGAGACACCACTCGTGTTCCATGTAGACCGAGAAGCATGACTCAGAGTGGGAGGAGGAGGAGGCACTGAACATTACATTGACAGGGATGCTCAGGATAGACAAAACTTATTTTTTATTTTCAACCAAATTAAAATAAAGGAAGAAAAGCAGAATAAAAGCTACATACAGTTTAATATCCTCCTCCCTCATTTTTCATAACTAACATACAAAAATTTTTAACTGAGGATTTAAGGAAAAAGAAATAAAAAATGGGTTGGCAATAACATCACGTGAGAGCAGTAGCGGATTTAGGGGTATTCCAGCCCCTGGAACACCCAAAGGGTCTCCCATAGAACACCCAATTTTGGCCAGGGTTGGTGAAGTTCGTTTTTTTATTAATAAAAAACGTTTTAAACGTTAAAAAAATTTCAATCGTTTTAAAACACTGTTTAAAATTTAAATTCGAGAAAAATTAATGTTTCAGAAAATTTTGTAGCTCGGATAAACTCAGTGTTTCTCATTGAGAACACGTAGGCAGAAAGCCAATTTGGAAACTTTCTGTGATTGAGTCGATCTCTTAAAAGAAAATTTTCAAAACTGAATCCAATCAACAACACATCGCTGTTTTGCGGGAAAACTCCATAGACCGACTTCGATGCTTGTATTCTGTAAAAAAGCGGAATAAAAAACTAAAATAAAAAACAGCAATAAAAAACAAACGTTTAAAACACTGTTTTAAACACTGTTTAAAAGATATGGTGTATTAAACATAACAAAACCCTGATTTTAGCTAACCTTAAATTCTATTTAGTCGACAATTTTTGTAAAAGATTTTGAAACTCCGCCCACGATAAAATTCTAGATGAGACCCTGCTTGAGAAAGCGCCAAAAGCTAAGAACTAGTTTTGAAAAAAAGTGCAGATTTTCTTCAGGGGCGGGTTGTATTTTATTTTTTTTGTTTTAGTACATTCGCTAATCTCCGTTCCAGAACAAAAAAAAACCAATTTAAGTATAACTTTAAAAATTGAAAATTTTTATGCGGTAGGTGACTTTTTTAAAAATTAGTCAAAAATCCCGCTACAAATTTGTGATAAAAATAGCTTTTTGGTGGCAGACTTCGGCTCTTTTTCCTCTCCCCCCCCGCCACTTCACATAAGCATCAGTTTTTTGGTGTAACGAGGGGTTTTACAAGGTAAAGTATGAAGATCAAATGCATTTTTCATGGCCTAATTAGTCTGCATGACAAGTTTTGTAACAATCGGACAACGTGAACAGTATGTTTACTAATAAAAACTTGCAGGTGGGGCGAAAGGAAAAAGAGCCCAATTTTCATGTTCGTCTTCAAAAACGGGGCTTCCCCCACCCCTCTTAAATTCATTTCTATTTTTAAGTCTGATTTTATATGTAAATGTCGAGCATACCTGTTTGAAACATTAGTGCAATTCCGAGGCAACTGCTTCGTGTAACTGTGAGTGTATGCATAAGTGACTGGTTGGAAGAAACAGTGTATGAAGTTCACATCTTCCAGGTGGGGACTCCACACAACTTCCACGAAGTCTCTCGAATACTCGTTCAACCTTAGGGTAAAAACTTTGGGGGGATAGATGGTAACAAAAATATGGGCAACCGTCAAGCAATAAAACCAACAAAAGCTCGCCATTTTGCAGCAAAAGGGAAATGACAATTTTTTAAATTTAGAAATCAAATATTTTGTACTTAACTTTTGTTTCGAGTTCTTTTGTAAAACTTGGGTCCCACTTTCTTATAAAAAGTGTTGTAATGAAAAAATTAGTTTGCTTCTGAATTGGACTTAAATTTTTTCCAACTTAAATGATACAACTGTGTTTTAAAAGTATGTCGGCTCGACAATAAACTGAACATCTTAACTCAACGTAGAAAATAATTGAAAAAAAAAATCAATATAGGGTTTTTGGCTAGGAACGGAATAAATTAAGAATGAATTCGAATTTCTGGGTTAAATTAGATTACTGGGCAACGCGGGAGAATAGATTGAATATGCGGGTACAAAATCTAATTATAAAGTCTGAATCACAGGACCGTGCAATCCTTCATATTCACATACACCCTGGGTGGGTGTAAAAAACAGGCAGCGAGTAGATGGGGAAAATAATAGAAACTAAGGAAAGCTCATTAGAAAAAGCGCGGGACGATCATTCAAAAGTGCTGGATCAGTTCACAAACAAAATCCCCTGTGTGCTGCCAAAAACACAGGAACCTAACGATGTGAACGATGTGTGAAACAAGTGTGATTAAATTGAATATTGACTGAATTTGATTACTTAATTCTAACGAAACACCTTTAAGCTTCCGGTCTCCCGTCTAGAAATAGTAAATGGCGGTTAAAATAGCGGAAAAAAATCAATAAGCAGTAAAAATAACAAATAGCAATTGGAGAAAAAAGATATTTGGCTGATTTTCAAAAATTTGGCTGATTTTCAAAGGTTTTCAAAAAACAATCTGCCAAATTGTCAAATTAAGGTGCGTGTGGTATTAACAAAAAAAGCCTCGCCAAGCCAAGAAGGGTTTTTAGGAAGAGCGCCAACAGAAATCATGCGTTAAAAAATCAGGACAAATGACTGCTAAACTTGAACTGAATAGTATATTTACTTTGTCCACCTAAAACCCTTTTTGTTTTAACATATTGAAAAATCAGAATGTTTATGTGTAAACTGCATTCGTTGGTCAATTGATGGGATTTAATTTTTGTTGGAAGTGGGTTTAGGGTCCTATGTTATCTTCACTCGTCTTTTCCTTGGAGACTGATTAAGAACTTGGAACTTACTCTGTATCATTGTCAATGTCTGCCGCTGAAGGCATATCTCTCTTGTGGACTAAGTGGTCATTCTTCTAATCTCGGGATGTTCTTAAGAGCTTTCATTTAGATATTCTCCGTGTTAGATCTCCAGTTAAATTATTTGCCAGTTGCAAGAAATGAATGAGTTTTATACAGACAAAATTTAATACCCCTCATTTCTATCTAACACCATTGATGGCGTTTCAAAAATTGTTCTTATTTTTTACGAGGGAGGAGGTAGTCGGTGGTGGGGGGAGGGGGTTAATGTATATTGTTTACAAAACAAAAATTATAACAGTTTTCAAAAAAAGATTTGAACAAAGAGTTCTGAACGCTTAAGGTTCCAAGGAAATTTTTATAAGTTTTCAGAACGAGCGGCGAAGGTTTGAACCTCCAAGAGGTGGCGTACCTCCTCCGGCTGCTAAATCTGCTACTGAGTTTCTAGCAACTTCAATTTCAAAATCGAAATAACAAAGTTTTTTTTTTCAATTTTAAAAATCGATATATATATATATATATATATATATATATATATATATATATATATATATATATATATATATATCGATTGTTAAAATTGAAAAAAAAACTTTGTACTTTGCTGTATAGTGTTCGGAACTTCTGTGCTACTTGCACAGCGACCGGTTATTCTTGTTTCAATTTTCAAATATTATTCTATAAATTTGCAAATAGAAAAAAGTAAGTTGATTACTATCATTAACGCCCATTGTTTAGTGCCAGCATAGATATCATGTGTTACTTGAAATTGCCTATTAGGACAAAAAAAAGGTTTTACAAAACCATACAACGCAATTTAATTTTGTCAACCGACTGTAAATGACTTGAGCTATCGTCTCTGAGAGTATTTTAAAAAAATTGGAACACTTACCAAATTATTTAGCATCTGAATATGCCAGTTTTCCTTTTTTGCAGTAAGTTTTTCAAACGGTGTGAAATTATAAGAAACAAAAGAGTTGATGAAGTTTGTCACACTAATTTGATGCAGTTTTCTCGTTTAAAATATTTTACATCGCATGATTAACTTTTCTTACTCTGCTCATTCGAAAAGTGTTCAGTCTCATAGAAAATCGGAATAAATTGTGAAGACTGGTATTTTCAGACCTGAAATAAACTGGTAGTGTTTTGAATTAAAAATTAATACTTGCAGAGGGTGTGATTTAGGATCTAAGAAGTTTGGTTAACTTCTAAGTCTAACTAATTAAGTCTAATTAAGTAGTAATTCTAGCTTATGTGTCCAATATAACCTTGAAAATTAACAGTTTAGAGAGTAAAAACCAGGAACAAAAAAAACAGGAAGAGTTAACAACAGTTGGGATCAAGTTGGAAAAAATTATGCGCTAGTTGAAAAGCTAGAATTATTTACAAAATGAGCATAAAAGTTTAACTTTTCATTTCAATTTGTTTAACTTTAAAATCTGAAAATTTGTTTAACAAACGTTAAAGAAAAAAACTTTAACAAATAGCTCCAATTTTTCGAACTAAGCATGTAAGCTCTACTTAGTGCCACTATTCAAAGTTTTTTGAATGCAATCGAAGTTGTATTCAAATAGTCACGCTATGTGCAATGTATACTGATTAGTACATAGATTAATTCAGAACGCGTATTTCTGAAAACAAATGATTAACAGTGTGAGAAACCAATTTTTTTTTAAAGAGATAAAAAGAAAAAGTTGAAAATATAAATAAAAGATTCAAGTTATAAAGAAACATAGGTTGCTGTGCAAGCAAAAAAATGATCTGACCAATATAATCTGAGAAAAAGTCAAAAATAAAGGAAAATATTAAGTCAAATTTTTTTTGCATTTTGTTCTTTAGTTTTGTTATTTTTTCCTGTTATTTTTTTCCTGTAAAATGGTTGCATGACTGGCAAAAAAGGCCAGAACACACCGTATGGCATAGTTCTGTCTAGTATTTTGAAGTAATTGCCATAAAAGTTTAGCAAAAACTGTCATTTTCAATTATGACCCCCTGACTATTCACAGCGGGTCCTTCTTTGGTACACTCTTACTATTTTGGTCAATCACCTCTAAAATTTCCCTCAAGATGCTTTTGGTACAAAATCTATTGTTTTTGAGAAGGAGCATGCGCCAAAAAAAACGATGCTATGGGAGAGCTTTGCTTCGCGGGAAAGTTTGGAATGCCAAAGAGGTCGACGTAGGAAAAAAAAAAATCTGACCCGTCTTCAAATCCGTCTAAAATCAAATCCTAGATCGGCGGTCGTATCACACACAAACAAATAACAAATTTGTGAGGTCAACTTGTTTCTCCGCCTTGACAGAAAAATATTTTGAAATTACATGGTCAATTTATTTGATTTGGTCGCTACTGGTTAACGCTTATAAAATCAAAGCATCTCCTGTTTGTTCAAAACAATCTCAAATGTCATAAGTAAAGAAACATAGATGTATAAATATTGCTGAATAGCCAAGGATATGAGACCAGTTTATGATTTGTTTTCATTGTCGACTAGTACACATTGTAATCATTTACTTCTATTTTTCTCTTCTGACAGACCGTTGCTGGATCATGATGTTGGAGTTTCACAAACTTGCCCTAATGGTCGGGTTTGCTTGCTGGGCGGTGACGAATGCAGCGGGAATACAGGAAGGAAAGTGCAGGTATGTCCGGCCGGTTCAGATTAACCTGCAGCTCCTCGAAGGACCCTGGTACGCAGTCCGCAGGGCCATCGCGGAACCCTTCAGGGAGCAGAATTCAGACTGCGAGTTCCAAAAACTCTACTTTGCTAAGAACCAATACGGTAAGTATATGTTTACGATCAGCAGCAAAAATTGTAACATGAGACAGAATTAATTAAAGAAGTAATTTCATTAAATTTTTGCATGCAAATATGAATTTTTAGCAGACTTTGAGACAAAATTTCTGTCTAGCTTTTTAGGTTAAATTCTTTAATGCTAAGTTCTTTTAAAAAGGCCCGTTTGCTCTTTTTAATTAGTTTTGCCTCTTTCTTTTTAGCAATTTTCTTTATGTTTGAAGTCGTTCCATATGCACGAGAAAGCAAGCGTAGTTTTATTAGGCAACAAAGATGTAAATTGGAAGCAACATTGCTTTTGGTAGAAAGAAACTAGTAAGTAACCCATGGCATCTCGACATGGGTGGATCTATTTTTATGGCTGAGGTTAGAATGGGGTGTGACAGGGGGGGTGGGTGTTGAGTTTGGTATCATTTTTGGACTTTTTAAATTTGGATCAAATTGATTTCTTGAGCTCTCCGAAAACGAAAACATCAAGGCAGCTCGAAAATTTTACCTTCTTCTGCCAGCGCCAATTGTTGGACAGGAGGTAATTGTTCCGACTTTCGATACGAAAGTAACGGAATATTTGTGCTCGGGGTGGGTTTTTTTTTTCTTCAGACAAATTTCGACTTTTTAACTAGCCATTTTTGACGGATTTTTTTTATATCATTCAAAAGGTATTGTTGTCCTGAGCTCAAATTTGAAAAGATATTTCACCTGTGATTATTTTTCGTAAAGTTATGGGGGTTTAAAGATTGCCATTTTGACAATTTGGGACAATTAACGCGCGATATATATCGCGCTATTAACGCGTAAGCGGAGAGTTAACCGTCTTAAAATCGTTCCAAATTGGTTGAAAGAAGCTTATTTGCCATAATTGATTTGTTAAAAGGAGCTAAATCTATCTTTTTGTACTTTAAATGGCGTGTGGGGGGATGATTTTCATAAAAAATTTCAAATTAAAAATTTTATTTTTTATTTTATTACATTTAATTTTTTAATGTTATTACTGCTCCATAAAACCTTAAAAGGCAGTCGGAACATTCAGGGCTTCGCCCTGATACGAGCAGTCTTGTTTCGGTTTAAGAACTGCTAAAAATGCCGTTTTGGCGCGCTTTTAAGGCTTTTGCCAAAATTAGCTCGAAGTGCGCTGCGCCTAGAGTAGTTTTTTTGCTGCCAAGGTTCTTCTGGAAAAAGTATAGTATCAGTCCAGCGAAAAAAGATGCCACAAAAAAAGCTTATGACTTATTCCGCCCTCACCTTTAATTAATTAAAGATAACCTCCCTTGATCGACTAGGGTTCCTCTATCAACATAATCCTCTCTATAACGATTTATAAGCGTGAAGGATGCTAAAATGAGATCCATTTCTTGAACGCTTTTAAAAACTCAATTTTCAAACACCTCCGTGTTTGTTCAACCAGATGTAAGCCATTTTATCCACGCGGGAAGAGATCGAAATACTAGCTGTTAGAAGTAAAGATTTACAAAATATTTTTCTGCGCTGGGTTTTTCTGCCTTTCACCCTCTAGCAACAAGTACGCGTCATGCTGGGCATCGAACCATCGACCTTTCGATCGAGCGAGAAGCTGAGACTTAACCACCTCGCTACCACTTCAACTAAAAGTTACGAACAGTTTGCACATATTGCTCCATAAACCAGCGAAGTGAACAATCACCCCAAAACGTGAAGGAAAAAAAGAAATCAATAAAATTAAATGCAAAATGGAATGAAAATAAATACGTTCAGCCAACTGAATAATTGCCTTCCCAAATAGATTTAAGGAGGGCGAGTGGGGGAGAGATTGTTAGGGGGAAGGGGATTGTTAGAGGTATTTTCAACTGGGTCGATTTTGTTTGCAGGCACCCATTTGAGGTTCAATCGAACAAATTGTGAAAACTCTCAATGCGAATGGACGCTAATCTACGCGTACAAAATGCCACGAGCTAGAGGATCTACGGCCGCTTTTGACATAGATTTCGTCGGCCACGGACCCACCTCCAAAACCCCCACTTTCTTCATTCTTCACCTGGACGACTGGTTTGCAGTCATGTATTACTGTCTGAAGTTTGGCAACCTCAAAATGGAAATGGCCTGGATCCTGTCACGTGAACGTTTTCCGAACCCGTATGATGTCGACAAGGTTGAACGAAAAATATTTCCATTCGGAATCGATGTCGAAATGGTCAATATCAGCCAGGATAAATGTCCGAAACACGTGATTGATTACAAAGACGAATTCAGACGAAGGTTGATCACCTTAACTGCTGACGTGAACAGAGTGGGATCGAGCAGTGAACAAGAATTTGCAGATTTGAAATATGCAAAGTTCTTGAAGTGCATGAAAAAAGCAGTGGTCTATCAGGAAATTCAGAAGTGTATACAGTTGAGCTATAAAGAAGACTAAAGGACGCTTCTTAGAGCAAAATTGACAAACTAGAAAAAATTCATCAAACACGACTAACTTAGTATCAAATCACTCCAATTCCATGAGCTAGTTGAAAAATTGCGCTGTACTTTTAAGATCATTTAAGCAGCCCCATAAATAAATTTTAAGTTAATAACAATTGTTTTGCCAAATATGCATAAAAACTTATAAATTCGTTTTTTCATGCCACATAAATTGTCGGATTTTTTTGAACTTCCGATTGGCAATGAATTCTTGTTTCGCGAAAGAAAACCGAGTTTTCTCTCGTCAGTTATATGTGCGCTTATTTACTGTAGTTTGCCAGTCAGTCTTTTAGAAGGCTCCGAAGTTTAATAATTTTTTGGAGGTTTCGGAATTATAATCACTTTTTGGGCAGGAAACACAACACAATTTTCATCAGCCTGGTCATTTTCAATAATCAAAATACCATTCAAGCACCAGCGGATTTGGGGGGGGGACCTTCTCACTCAGGGATTCAACCCCCTGCCGACCCATAGGGTCACCCTTTTGTATATATTTGAGAGATTCATTTTTTGGCAGATTGACCCTAAATTTTTTAATTTTGAGGGGGGAGCGCGCGCCGAGAAAAACGCGAATTTTTGGTCAACGTTGTCCAAAATGCCTAAAAGCGCCTTTTTTGCCTGTTTTTATTTCAAAAAATAGCCTGCGGCGCAGAAAATGTGATCAAAATGGGGAATTTATATGTATTGGGAGAGCTCCGAAAATCAAATCGGTCGACATAAAAACAAAAAAATCGACAAAATTTTTCGAAACTCTTTGAAAATCCGCTCGTCCTCGAAAAAATCTCATTTTTGATCCATTGCACCTCCTGCGCTCTTTGTAATTTTATTCACGAGATATATTCATTGAGTCCGATAATTCAAAAAATTATCGACATGTCTTGTTTTGGCTTTCCAGACTTATATTGACAGGTTTTTAGTCGTTAGTGTGTGACAACGCAAGCTAAAACTAAATGCCAAGAGCGTTAAAAAATGCTTTTTCTAAAATCCTGCCCAAAATGTTCTTACTAAAGTTTGATGACTGCTGAAACTAAATTATTAAATGATGGACCAAACATAAGCTGGACTCGTGGCAAAGTCGTGACAAAGTCTTGATCTCTAGCAACACTTCGCCAACAAAACCCTGTAAGCTAGCAGACTGAAATGACAAAGAAGCTAAAAACTTACAACTCTACAAAAATTTGACTTATTAAATCAAAAGATTTTCGATTTGAAAGAAAGACAAGAATCGAGAAACCCAATTCCCAATAAAAAGACAGCGTTCAGAAAAGTTAAGAAACAACTAGCCTTTAATACTAGGTTAGACGCCGGTTAAGCCAAAAATAAGGTGAGGCTAGAACTTTACACGATCTCAATCACTTTGCTTCTTTGAGAGCTAGCACTAAAAAAACATATCAAAACATTTTTTTGAGCGGCAACTAAGCCAGGAAAGCTTGAGTAGACGCCAATTGAGTCAAAAATCAGGCTGAAACAAAAATTTTCACCTAAAAAATTAGGAAAATCAAAAATTATACGCATCCACTCTAGGTGAACAGAAATATAAAAACTTAATAGTTTTCCTTTCAAACAAAGCAATATTCAAGGGTTGGGTTGATATACTTCAGAATACAGTTCGAAACCATTTCAGACCAACGACAGAAAGATAAGCAGGAAATTATTATTCTGAGGTGAAATGGTAATAATGTGATACCAAACATAAAGTTATAAGACAGCAGACAGGACATAAACATATAAGAAAAAAGTAGAAATTTTATAACTAATTATACCTTCGAAAGTTTTCAAAATTTTGTCTCGAAATGGTTTCCTTTGAGGAAAAAATGTTCAACATCACAACTACCGGCGTTGAGTAATTATTCATAAACATTTTTTGAGCGACTACTAGGCCGACAACACTTAGGTAAAAGCCCGTTGGGCCAAAAACAAAAAATGGTGTACGATGAGCTAAAAATTTTGGTAGTTTATATAATTACGCTTTTCTACCTCCAAAAAAAAAACCAGCGCAAAAATCAGAAGTTTTTTCTTTTCTTTCAAAATACGCGCAATTAATTCACCATAATTTATGTTGCCGATAAAACAAACCGAGTCAATTTAGGCCAAAAAAATAAAAAACCAATTTTATGCAACGTCAGAGTTGGTAATTCAACACAATATCCGAGATGAATAAAAAAAGCTTTCAGTTGATTGTAAAATTGCTTAGACAAACGATAAGACAATAAAATTTTTGAAACTGAGTATTTTGAGTTTCAGAGAAAACATGTTCTGAAAGGACAGGATCCTACGCTCTTAGCCGTCCAAGGTAGAGGAGTTACCTACAGACCAAATGGGCCGCAGAAGCTAAAAAATTGGAAATACTATCAATCAAGCTATCAAATAACTCAAAAGATTCTGTTAGGCCAGTTGTTAACTTTTTCCGGTTTTAAGCGTAATCAATCACAGTGGATAAACTTGAATTTCTCTAGGAATTAAATAAGTTGATTTTTGATGACACTGAAAATCGCTTGAATTTCATGAAAAATCACGCTGAGTCAAGCAAACAGTAGTAGGTAATTTCTCAACAGTGAAAAATTTTACTTGGCAAAAAAACATGTCCAGGGCATAATTTGTTTAGCCAAGCCATGTGTGATGAAAAAGATGCAGAGCTTTAACCTATAGGAAAACTAAGCCGCCAGAGAAGAGGCCCGAAAAATCAAAAAAACCATTCTGAAACTAATTTAAAAAAGTTCAACAAAAATTGAAAAAAAACCACGTATAGTTCCTTATACGATATTTCGTAAGAAAACACAACTTCATAACCAAATAAATAATTGGACATCTTAGTGGAGTGCTTAAAGTGAAAACCATGAAACCGAAAAATCATCATCTTAAAAAAACTGACTACACACAAAATATTTAAAATCTTTTATACAGCTTTTATCAGTAAACACTGGTATCAGAAGCCGGCAGTTAAAACCGATTTTTCTAAAAATTGAGCATACCAGCTGTAGAAATGACAGCAGCGCAAAAGTTTCGTATGACTTTCTTAAGCCTGTTGTTGCCTCAAAAAAGTCTATGTTGCATTTTGATAAAGCTTGCTGGTCGCAAAAGTACTACTAATGTAAATGTGTTCATTTCGCTGGACCATTTTTAGGAGTAGAAAAAAAATAATCGCGGAGAGTGAGCTTTTTCTGCATGACTTTACACGTTTCACTGAACGCTGGAAGGATGAAATCTCAATCTCCAAGAAGTGTTGATAAAAAAAGATAGACAAAAAAATTTGCAGGAAATCTAAGATCGTCGAAAAAAGTGAAATTATAATTTGTTTTCTTTACTGGTTCTCTATGTCTTTTAGGACTTCTCATTCTTTGAAGCTTGCCCACAATGCTATCCCTTTATCAAAAAAAGTACAAATCAAATGCCTCAGAAGCGAAGTTTCAACCAAAATCAGAAGATGGTAAACGAAGCTGTAAACTAGACAAAAAAGGTTTAGAGAAGAAAATAAGGCTTAAAAAAATCGTTTTGTTTGAAAAACCATTCCCTGATAACAGCTACACTGTTCCACAAATTGAGCTAGCACTGGTTGCGCACAAAAATTGTGCTTCAAGTGAAAAAAAATCATAAAAAGATGCGGCTTAAATAAATCGGAAACAATTTGGTTCAACAAAGATAATGATAAGTTTGAGCATGTTCGTACAAACATTACGAGGCCAAACTAAGTATTCCGTGAATTTTGAGCGGATTCCGCATCAAGAGCGCTTTCTTTGATTTTCATTTTTTCTTTCGTTTTGTTTGATCGTTCAGACAAAATTATGCTATGTTTAAAGACTTGTTTCTGGTTTTGCAGAGACCTACACAGAAACGTGCGCCTATACAGTGTACAGTTTTGCCTCGTAAAAAAACGATTTGTCACGAAACAAATTGTTCCAGTTTTGATTCTATCAGATACAATCAAGTGAAAAAACTTAACAATTTTCAGTTTTTTGATTTTAACCTACACTTTCGGAAGACCGGACAATTATTTTAGGACTACTTAAGGCTTTTTACCCAGCAATGATATATTACTTTTTTGAAAATTTCTATTCATGGAAATTACAAAGTTTTGAAACAAGTATATTTAGAGCTCTTTTTAATCGATAAAATTTCTTGTGAAATTTTGCATACATTTCAACTAAAAAGAGGTATTTGTCAAAAAATATACGTGGAATTTTTTTTTCGCAGCCAATGACTAAATCACTATGCCATTGAAAAATAATTTTGAAGGTTTCATCATTGCTCTTTTCCTGTCTTCTTTTGCACGAGTTTTTTTGCTTAACACAACTCCAGGAAGTAAGAGTTGTTTTTGCATAAGTGGCTTCTTCGAGTGAACAAAAAAAATTTGAGCAAAAAATCGGAACAAAAAAGATAGAGCCTTCTGGGTAAGAAGTAGAGAAGCAGATGATAATAAGAAGGAAAGAAAAAAACAGAAACTTCGAAAATTTGAAGGCAGAAAGAAACAAAATTAAGACACAGAAAAAATTCACTGACCAGAGTTTTAAGAGAACCTCTGGTTAGACTGCAGCTGTGGATTAACGGGAGAGGTTCACTTGAAATAAACTTGACTTAACAATTGCATGGAAAAGTTTGGCCAATCGAAACTCTTGAATTTAACTAAGCTAATGTCAACTGTACTCATTGTTTCACCATGCTTGTACCTTGCTCTACGTTCTATGTTTTCATCTTTTTTGTAGAATAGAGCGTAAAATTTTGAAGTTTTCATGACGCGGATAGGTTTGAAAATTAGTTGCTTAACGGTGTATGGTAATGAACGAAAAGTGACCTTGCCGATTCGAGCCAAGGAAAATTTTTAGGCAAAACAGGAAAAAATGCAAAAGGGAAACTCCATCGAATCACCGATCATAAGTTCACAAATTACTCCTACCACACCTACTAAATTTCTAAATTAGATCTGAAATAAAGTTTTTCTGATATAAATTTCAGATATGAAAATTTGTGTTCTTTGGTTATTTCAGATCTGCCAAAAATTTTTTAAGAGTTGTTCTGTTTTTCATTTAATTCTGATCTGAAAACATCAATGATTTTGAACCAACTTTTGTTATTTGAGCTAGCTCTGTACTTAATAACTTCTGCGGGTTACTAGCAGGCTA